TTAAGGCCAATTCCCACATAGCAGCGCCGCAGCAGCGCGGCGCGTCGCTGCAAATGCTGCTCCTAAAAATATCCATATTTTTAAATGGAACAGTTCCCACATAAGCAGCACAGCGCGGCAGCAGCGCAGCGCGTCAAAATTCAACGCCTCTGAGAGCGTTCCTTGCTGCTCTGACCTTCGTCGCGCTGCCAAGTGGACATTAGGAAGCAGCAAACACTGCTGTGTTTTCGACAAATCTCGATACATATCGCTCACTATTTGGCTATGGGAGAGGTACCAGACGTTTCGCGGTGACTGTTGGACTTTGTAATCACTAATTATATGTAGTTAGTAAATGCAGGTAGTTTGATTTTGTTAGAGTAATATAAAATTACTGACAAAACTCTACATTTCTAAGTAGGATTAAGGCAATATTAATAAATTATATATCTAGGATATCACTAGACGAGGAACTCGACATTTTGAAAATAAAATACGTTCGTTCTATTAGATAGTCGGAACACTACTCTTCTAAAATATTAACCGCTGCGCTGGTGCTGCACTGCTAAGTGGGAATGCCTACCAAGTTTTTGCATCGCAACGACGCTATGAAGCGCTGCTGCCGCGCTGCTATGTGGGAATTGGCCTTAAGCTGTGGCTGTACCACAGACAAACGAATATTTATTCGTTTGTCTATGCGCTGCACCCATAGAGCCACAGGACAGACGAATATATTCCTTTTAAATGTGGTCGACTCGTTCAAGGTCATATTAAAAATATATATCAGATTGGAACCTAGCTATTTATTTGTTCCAAATTGTTTGCACATGAATGTTTATGTAGTTTATTGCTATACAGATAACGCATATTTTACACCATTTAAACGTACACACAGTGGAAAATAGGTAGACCATTATTAAATCTGTACATATGTACAGGGTGATTCACTATATTTTGACCCCCAACTCTTGTTTTGTTTTAAGAGTTATAAAAAAATGTAAAATACAAAAGTCACACGCATTTTGGACCATATCAATGTCCGATATGTCAAAATATATTACAACTAAATATGTAAATCCTTACGTAATTGGAAAAAAGGCAGAAATGTCTGAAAGAGGTCTAACAATTAATTAGAAGATATCTTATTTTCTAAATAAAAAAACTATCTTTTCATTTTTTAATAGTATCTCGCTTATTGTTAGAGATGGACCCAACAAACCCTATATGACTATGCTCGACAGAGAATGTTCTATCCAAATATGTAAAAATACAGTGATGTTAACAAAGTTAACATCCGCGGCCATTTTGTTTGAACTTCACTTGTTTTTCTATCATTTTTGAAAAATTCATAAAAAAATCGTGCAACTTGTATTTCATTTTTTTATAACTAAAAACAAAAAAGTTAATGGGGCGGGGGGGGTCAAAATATAGTGAATCACCCTGTACAGGTTTTAAATTTATATAAATTTAATGAGTAAATTCTAAGCACTGGCCTCATTTTTAGTTATAGTAAGAATATTGTATATGGAAGACCAATTTTAAGCCAATATACATGTCATTCTTGTGACATATATGGATTTATATTTAGAATAAAACAAATAGGTAGGTACTTTTAGTTTTATTAACATGTATATTTATATGAAATATTAAAGAATTCTGGAATATTTTTTACATTAAATTAACACCAGTTTAAATTTAGCTTTCTAAATGAAGTTTTTTAGACTCAACATCGTGGTAACTTCTCAAATCTATAGCACAATTTTTGTTTTTAAGCTGCGTTGCGGAAGTTCTTATGGATAATGGGCTTAATTTCCTGAACTATATCGAGTACACCCTTCACCACCTACCATTAAAAAAAGTGGATGAAATACCTTAGTCTTTAATATAAGCGATTATTAAACCTCTCAAAAACTTACCTCATCCGTTCGTGTATGGGCAGCCCTGTTCAGTTCATCGATTTTTTGATTAGTGTCAATTTCAATTTGCTTTTCAATACTACCCCGGGTACCTACATGTTCGTCCACGTAATCATGAAATTGTTGGTCACGCTCCTTACGAAATTTCTCGATTTCCTCCTCCGCCTCTTCTTTAGCTTGCCTCAGTTTCTTTGCTTTACCTACGGAAATTAAAAATTGATAGAATTAATTGGTTAATAAACTTCACAAAGGGAAATACTAACGCCTTCTTGATGCATTAACTTTATCAGCCGCACGTTTTTCGGCAGCTAACAACTGTTGAATTCCTTGAGTTTGAATTTGAGCCATTATACGATCCGAAGATAATTTTGTACCTGTGATCTAAAATATTTCCCACTGAGCACTGGCGGTATAGAAATTCAAAGTACAGTCTGTCGTCAAGCACACGTGTCTTGGTACTAAATCAATGTGTCAAAAAATGTGTAACTGGAACCATAATTTAAAGTTTATAGTTTATAGTGTGTATATTGCTCAATATCTTCTGAGGCAACGTTTGCTTACTAAACATGTATGATATTTTATAACAGTATGTTTGGTTTACAGCTACTAGGATAATTAAAACAACTGAATTCTTGTCAAATCAAACTTTATATGCGATGTGTGGGAAACTTTACATATGAAATATGGCTGCATACCCCCAAAATACAAAGTGGTGATATTAGTGGTTCACATAACTTTTGTATTGGAAAAATTTACAAGAAAATACAGATAACAGTTATACATACAATCAACAACACGTATTTAGAATTTTTTTGGGTCACGTCAAAAGCAACAAGTTTTATTTAATTTCTTTTAACATCTTCGCTTTAAAGATAATATATTTTAAAATTTTATACTGGAGCATATGTCCATAGGCTTCGTTGTGTTAATCATAAACAACATGCACAAAAATGGGAACTAATTAGTCAGTACTAATATTTAGCTTTAAACTAACAAAAACTTTTAAGCTAGTGAATCGTTCCACAAAATATTCACATATGTTTATAAAAATTGGCTGATTATAATTGGTAAATAATAAAGTCTGCTTATAAGTAAAAATTTTAGGCAATCCCTAAAATTTTTACAATTTTCTTAAACATACTATGTGACATGTTAATAATTGGCTAGTATTTTATCTTCAGGCATTTCCAAGGCCTCGCAAATTATTACGTTGAAATAGAAATTTACATTTAACTTTGTATAAAAAAATTATTCTGCTTTATAAATTGATGAAATTTGAGATACAGTGATATTAAATGATATATAACCAGATTTTTTATAATATGTAATAATTATTTTAAAGAAAAGTTTTTTGATTATTTTGTCATTTTCAAGTTATTTTTAATTTTTAAAAACTAATTTAATCCAAAACAGAATTATATAGCAATTTTTTGTTCAATCAATTTTAAATACATTGTAACGATTAAAAGAGCAAAAAAAATCAGTTGAGAAAACATTTTAATTTTTCTACGAGTTATTTCTCAGATAATTAAAAATTTATACAGGGTGACCCGAAAATAATGCAACAAAATTTGGTGATAGATTCTTAAGACAAATTTATGTCAAGTGGCCCCCTCTTTAGGAGTTACAGCTCCCTGAAATCTGCCTCTAAGAATAATTTTTTTTATATCTCAACAATGTGGTACGAGAATCACCAAATTTGGTACACAGGGATTTTATGACATATGGAATCTGCTGCTGCTACAATGTAACAATAATTATTATTACAGATATATTCTGTAACAATTCCCTTCAATTTTAAAATACTTTTTTCGGCTAATGCATCACTATAAGATTGTCCTTTATAAAAATATATAATAAAAGGTCTATTATGAAGTTTTATAATTTAAAGCANGGGGGGGGGGGGGGGGGTGGTACAGGGTCTGTAAAACTATGGCTGAAGGGAAATGATTGTTAAATAATTTTTAAATGTAAGTACTTAAAAAATTCTGGTACAAAATATGTACCACCAACACCTGGAGGAATAAAAAACGGTGGTACATTTTATGCACCACTGAGACTGAAAGAGTTAAGACACTTCTTCATGGGTCCCCTTGCCTTTGGAATCAAAAAAATTTGGTCGCATATTTGAATTTCTTAAAAAATATTAATTTGCTAGAAAACCAGTGAATTTAGAACCTTTTTTCTCTTGATTTTTTTTTTGTAAAACAATATTTTTGAGAAAAATGGCAAATCACAATATGTATTCGATCACATTTTGACATTTTTCTCGAAAACATTGCGTTTTACAAAAAAAGTATCAAATGACAAGAAAGTTTCTCAATTTAAAGGCTTCCTAGTGGACTAACAATTTTTTAGAAATTTAAATATGCGATCAATTTTTACTTCTGTATACCAAATTTAGTGATTCTCGTACAACAGGATTCTGAGATATAAAAAAAAGACTATTCTTAGGGCGGATTTCAGAGGGCTGTAACTCCGAAAGAGGGCCACTTGGTAAAAATAAAAAATACGGGTCCTCTAAATTTGTCTTAAGAATCCGTGACCAAATTTTGTTGCATTAATTTCGGGACACCCTGTATGGCAATGGCAGATTACAATTTATTTAAAACAATATTTGGAAAAAAAAATTCCTTTCCATATTTTCTGCGGAACAAAAAATTTTCCAATTATTTTTTATTCGATTTTGAAATCAAAATTGATTTGAAAATTAATCAATAACTATAAATCAATCAAATGAACTGATCAAATTCTCAAAAAACTCGGCAGAATAAAACATCTGAGGTTTTCCAAATTCAGTAAATTTTGAAACCAATTTTTTACCAAGTTACGGCAAACACCTTCAGACTTTATTTTTCTGTTTATTGGATACTTTATCACCTATGAAAAAATTTAAAATTAGTCGTTGGTTATTTTTATTTTATTTTTGCCAAACCAAAAATCAATATTTTTTCAGTTAATAAAAACTTATAATGACGTTTCTTTTTTAATTAGTTTGAGTTTAATTCGTGTCTTTCGTTAAGCGATAATAGTTTAATAAAAATAACCTTTGAATCAGACATTTTTGGTGTAAGGGTTTTTATAATTAATTTTTAAATTTTTTCCCATATGGCAAAATATACAGGATGATTCAGAACTTATCAAAAAAAAATATTTAAATGTACAATTTTGCAAAAAAAAAAAATAAAAAGGTCAGTTCGAAAATGATTTAAAAATACACTTCTGTAGGGCACTGAAGACTGGTCCACGATAAGGCTTGACCTTGCGCAAGGCAAAGCATGCAGTCAGCGACCCTCACGGTGGCAAAAAACTGACAAAAAATTGAAAGAATTTTATTCCCAAGGAAAGAAATAAATAATATTTTATAACACCTATTTTGTATCAGCAAATTCAACTGATTTTGCCATTATTATTATTAATTAATAACATTAATTTGTGGTTTCAATTAAATTTTAATAAAATAATTTGACATACCTGATGTTACAACTGTTAAAAATTTGAGCCCATCTTACTCAGTTTCTACGATCTAACACAAATGTGGTCTTGCTTCACCATAAATTAAAACGATATCCATCAACTCCAAGTTGCTATACACGTAAGCCATTTTTGAAACTTGAAAAAATTAATGTAAACACTATCCGAAAATCGTTTTAAATCGGATTTCAGTAATTGGAATCACCTGGGGCCATGTGGAGCGAGAGCGCACAACGTGAATGAAGCTAGATACTATAGTAGCCCGACGATGTAAGTGTTGAAAATACTACAATTTCAATAATTTATTTTTTTCTCGGAAACTATAAGGATTTTACAAACATTTTTTTTACAATGTTGATTCCATTTTTCATTCCAAATTTTTTTGGATAAGTTTGTGTATCAGCCTGTATAAAGCAGATATTTTTAGATTTGTGTGAAAAAATTGAATATTATTTACATTGCATAAACTATACAGGGTGATTGAGAACTTATACAAAAAAAAAATTAGGATGTACAGGGGACTTACAAACAATTTTGTAAAGAAAAAATCAAAAAGGACAGTTCGAAAATTATTTAAAAATACACTTCTGCACGGCACTGGAAACTGGTCCACTGTAAAACCTGACCTTGCCCAATGTGACCAGCATGCGGCATGGCATGGCGGCACAGTGTGATAAAAACGGACAAAAACTTGAACGAATTTCGCAAGGAAAGAAATAAATAGAATTTTATAGCACTTATTTTATATTAGAAAATTCAACTGCTTTTGCCGTTATTATTATTATTAATTAATAAAATTAATTTGTGGTTTTAGTTAATAAAATAATTTGACATACCACATACCTGATGTTACAACAGTTCAAAATTTTGTCCACCGACGTGTAAACACATTTGGGCTATCTTACCTAGGGTCTACTAATACAAATGTTGTCTTGCTTCACCATAACACAAATGTTGCATTGCTTCACCATAAATTAAAACGATATCCATCAACTCCGAGTTGCTATACATGTAAACCATTTTTGAAACTTGAAAAATTAATGTAAACACTATCGCAAAAATTAGATTTCAGTATTTGGAATCTCCTGGGGCCATGTGGAGGGAGAGAGAGGGAGCGCATTGTGCACAGCGCACAACGCTAATGAAGCTAGATACTTTAGTAGCCCAACAATGTAAGGGTTGAAAATACTACAACTTCAATCAATTTTTTCTCTGAAACTATAAGGATTTTACATTGTTTTTACAATATTGATTCCATTTTTCATGACGCATCTCTTCCCAAATTTTTTTGGATAAATTGTGCATCACATATTTTTAGATTTGTTTGAAAAAGTTGAATATTTTTTACTTTGCATAAGTGTAACACTTTTGGAGATTCCTGAGTCAGCCACCCCTATTTTAATTCTTTATCTGGTAAATTTCATTGGAAATCGGCCCTTAACGCTATAAAAAAAATGGCAAGAGTCGCACGCTTCATTATAAAATAAAAGCACTTTAATTTTCATTAAACAATACCTACGTATTTTACTACGCACTAAATATTTAGGAAGCATAAATATAGGAGTCTCGGTTCAATAAAACCATAAGAAAAAACAAGTAGACTATAATAACAGCTATACTACCATATAAAAGTATTTCCGTAATAAAGTTACAAAAATATATTATTTCTGATTCTGAAGGAAATATCACGCAAATGCAAACTCTACATGTTAAACCGCTCGGGGTCCTGTAACCTGAAAACAGAAACGAAAACAGTGAAATAAACAGAAAATAATTGAAGTTTGAAAAAATACCTCAATATGGAAACGTCTTTATTAATAAAGGAAACGTCTTGAGGTGTGAGGAACACGAACTGCAACTCCGGCTTGGACTTGGCGTGATGAAGTAGAATATCTATGACCTTCGTACGGTTCAACTTATCCTAAAAAATATTTCATTTAGAAAACTTCGGACGTTCTCGTTTTAATGACGTTACCATATAAACATCAAATTCATCCAGGAAATAAAAGGGGAATTCCATGCAGTGCCACAGCGAATACAAAAACGCCACCGTGGAAAATGACCGTTCGCCCCCGGATAAGTTGGAAGTGGTGGTAAGCCCCTGTGAACCGTGCTGAGGTATCACGATTAGCTCCAATTTCTTCTCACGCATGTTGATCTCTATTGTGCCCTGCAAAACAAAAAGAAAAACGTGATTTTTCAGCAAATCTTCTAACGAATTGTTTTTATTATCACTTACTTCAAACTGTCTGGCTTCTAATATTTTTCTGAATGAATGTTTAATTATGTCGATGAAATGATTCTCCGTCAGTTTGTAATGTCTGTTCCGTCTCTCCATTGCGGTGATCAGTTCCTGAACATCCTTGTGTAGACTCTGCATTATATCCTTGGACTGGGTGTACTTTGCCGACAACTCGTTATATCGGTCCATAACCTCGGTAGCGTTTTCAGAATCTGTTTCTATTCTCTGTATCTTGTGCTTGATCTGGTTTATGTCGTTTGTTATGTCTACCACAGTCCTAAAAAAATGTATGCCATTAAAATCATCATTTGACTCGACATATTCCGTTTAAAACTTCCAACTAGATAAAAAAAAATACGAAAAATTGGTCGAGAATTGAATAAAGAAAAAAAAAAGCAATTTTTTCTGGATTACCTTCAATACAACTCACATAATAAAAGTGTAGATCCCTAGAGCTGGGCGCGGATCGGAACATTTTCAAAATTGCAAAAATGTTTAAAAAATTTTTTAAAATACCTATTTTATCTGAGTTTTTTACTTATATCTTGGAATCTATGCATTTTGGAAGAATATTGAAGAGGGAAAAAGTTTTAGAATTGAATTTTGCACAATATATTGTAAGTTAAAAATGTTTAAATTTATTACCGATGTTGCAAAATAGCAATAATTGATGAAAAAAAAGCAAAATAATCAAGTTTTTTGGATAATTTTTAAAAATATTAATATCCAAGAGCATTCTAATTTTGGTAAAAAAAACTTTAGAATATAATAAAACAAAACACCAAATTTCATTAAAATCGGTTTGATAGTTTTCGCAAAATAATTTTTTGAAAAAAATTTTCAAAAATTTTTTTCGAATAAGTATTCAAAATGTTGCACAACCTCAAATAAAACATCTAGATACTTGAAAATTTGTTCACATGGAAAAGACCGCTCAACCTTTCAAATGGTTTTTGAAAAATTGAAATCGGTTGATTAGGACGGTTACAATAAATTTAGAAAGTTAACACTCCTTTTTTTTATTTTTAAACAATTAGATTACATTCATCAATTTGCAATTTAGTTTTTTTCAAAAATTATACTTTAAAAGTACTATTTTTTCTTAATTTTATCTGTATTTAACAAAAAAATTAATATCCAAATAAAAAAAATAATAATTTGTATAAACAAAAATTATTTAAATAATTGTAATTAATAATAATTATAACTAAATATATTCATATTCAGGGTGTTGAAATATAAACGTAAACAAATTTTTTAATTGAAAAAGTGCAATAGCATAGGGTAAAATATGCAGTGTATTTAATGCATAAATAATAAACTTTATTTATAACAAAATATGTACAAATTAGAAAGTTAGCATTACCATATTCGAATTCCTTGGCTCGCGAGACATCGGATTAAAAAAAAAGATCGGAATTGGTCCATTAGAAGCCGAGATAATGCAATTTTTTTCGTACCTTCGCATTTTGAACCTCCGAATTCAGTCTCGGAGCGAAATCCCCCCCCAACTTTTCGTGTTTGAGTCACTTTTCGCGCGTGCGGGTGACAGCTTTTCCGATGATTTATCTATGTTGTCGATAACTTATGGATATGAACATTTTTTCCAGCTTAGAACTCGGAGAAATGAAGCCACTGGATCAAAGATTATTGCTAAATTGGTTATAAATTAACGGTAAATGCGGATAAACTTTGACCGCTTATATCTCGAGAACCAATAAACGGAATTTAACTTTTTTTAAAAAAGAAGCGTTTTTCCAAGTTTAAAATTATAATTTTTGAAAAAAACTAAATTGCAAATTGATAAATGTAATCTAATTGTTTAAAAATAAAAAAAAAAAACAGTGTTAACTTTAAAAATTTAATGTGGCCATCCTAATCAACCAATTTCAATTTTTCAAAAACCATTTGAAAGGTTGAGCGGTTTTTTCTATTTGAAAAATTTTTTAAGTATCTAGATGCTTTATTTGAGGCTGTGCAACATTTTGAAAAATTCGAAAATTTTTTTCAAAATGTTTTTCAAAAAATTATTTTGCGAAAACTATCGAACCGATTTTAATGAAAATTGGTGTGTTGTTTTATTATACTTTAAAGTTTTTTTTAACAAAATTAGATTGCCCTCAGAGTAATTATAATGTTTTTAAAAAATTATCCAAAAATCTTGATTATTTTGTCTTTTTTTAACAATTATTGCAACATCGGTAACAAATTTAAACATTTTTAACTTACAGCATATTGTGCAAAATTCAATTCTAGAACTTTTTTCCTTTTCAATATTCTTCCAAAATGCATATGTTCCAAGATATAAGTAAAAAATAGATATTTTTTAAATTTTTGCAATTTTGAAAATGTTCCGGACCTCGCCCAGATCTATAGATCTACACTTTTATTATGTGTTATAGTGAAGGTATTCTAGCAAAAATTAGCTTGCCCCCTCTTACATCCAAAAAGTGAGACATTTCAACAGGTACGCCCTGGTCCAACAATATTTGTTACAGAAATATGTCTCCTTTTGTTTTTGAGAAGACGAGTTTTAAACAGAATGCCATTAATTGATCTATACTTCACCTTAAATCTGGTAATCGTTCTCCTACGGATGTGGCTTCCTCCTCGTATCGTATTAAGGCATTTTGTCTAAGAACCATTTCTGCACGAGCCTCGTTCACCCTTCTCTCGTATTCCTTAATTTTTCTTTTGTCGAACTCATCACTGGTGGACACCTCCTTCTGTTTCGTTTGATATTCTCGAATTTCCTCCTACAATAAAAAAAATATATAATAATAAAGTGCCAACAAGAAACGAAACAACCTCATTAATCAATCACCTGTAAGGCTTGAACTCTATCTTCAAATCCCTTCGTAGACTCCTTCAGTTGATTCATTTCTTGCTCCTTTTCCACGATTTTTAATTTTATTTGTTTCAAGTCCTCGGACACCTGCCCCAAAGAAGCCTTCTTGTCGTTCAGGACCTTCTTGACTTCCTCTAGTTCTTGCTCCTGAAATATGAATATAATAAATTTAATCTTAATTCTATTATTCTCTACTAACAGCAGATACTTACCAAATATTGAACATTTTGCACTTCTGGCTCAGCAGAGGAATTCAGTTCCTCTAATTGCCTTCTGATTTGAACCCTGGCTTGATTTATCTTCCTTATTTTTTCTTCCAACTGGTTCTTTTTTGCAACTTGCTCCCTCACGTCACTTATAAAGGCGTTAAGCTGATTGTTTATGGCTTGCCGCTTTCTTTTAAAAGTTTCAATACTTTGTTCCAATTGCCTAAAAACACAAAAATAGGTAACTTTAACTGGGGGTCAGTTTTTTAGGAACAATAGTATGTGTTCCTCAGAATACCAATTCGAAGTATTAACGAAGTGTATCACCTTATAAAGCTATTTACTTCAGAGTAATGATGGTATGGTGTTTGTGTGTCTTCGTCGTAAAATTTCGACAACAATGCATGTTGTTTTCAATTAGATATGTGCTTGGAACTATTGCGAGCTGTTTGAGATTACAAAAAAGTCAATGATCTTTGATATTGACCTAATTTAGGTAAAATATAAATCAATAAAAATAACGTGATATAAAAACAAACCAACTTTAATTCGGTAATATATGAAGTATTAGTTTTTCAGCACGTTGTGTTTGTGTATCTTCATTGTTAAGCTGCCTGTCCAGCGGCGAGGTATGAAAATTATAAAAAAAATAAATTAAAAGAAAACTCGGCTTTTACGACGGAATTTGAGAAAACAAGTTGATGATTTGTTTCTGAAGGTCAATCTACTTCCAAACTATGTAACCTTTAATATATTTTTTATTTTATATATTAATTTCTACTTACTGCATATATTCTTTGGTATCAACCTGAAGATACTTGGCTCGATGGTACTGAGAGCCATATGTCCTGTAATTCGGGTCCGGATAGTACCTATCGCCTTTGATGGTAACCCCCTGGCTACAGTTCTGTGGTACATACTGTCTGTTAGACAATAATTCTTGAGCTCTCTGATCGTTTGGAACGAGCAAAATACTTTCCGGAAAGGAACTGTCAACGATACAATTTGACACAACCGCATCGTCTATTTCTATAGCATTGTACAGACACACACAATCTTCAGGTGCTCGAACCAGATTCCTCGACACATCATGTTTCTAAAACAGCGGAAGCCAATAACTATCCGAATTATTGTGATGTGAGGACAGAAATCTTACCCTATATATAAATTTCGAAGTTATAATTTGAGGTTGTCTACCGTCTGACCATACTTTATTAAAAATTTCTCTCAAGAGCTTACTGTCCCTGTTGTTATCAACTGCAAAGGCACTCAAGGTGCCGGTGCCCAGGTAACCTTCTACCGCCACTGCCCATTTCTTGTCTTTCAATTTTATGTAGGACCCTTAAAAAATTTATTACTTAATGCATCAGCTCCCAAAGAATTTATTGCACTTCTAAAAACGATCTCCAAAGGGTTGTTCCTCAATAATAATGAAAGAATTTTATTGAAATTTTAGTTTTCACCAGATACTGATCGAAAAGGACATTTTTTCCCTCAAATTGGAAATAATTAGATAAAATAGTGAATATCTATCTACTTGTATCAAAATGCAGTTCCATCTTTTCTGAACGATTTCTTTTTTGATTCACATCGTTCTCCACAAAAGTTGTAGATTTTTGCATGATCTACAACTTTTGTATTAGATACTTTTTTGTTTGACGTTAACTTTCGCCAGAAATCCCAATGATACAATATCTGATATTAATTGAGATACACAATTAAATAAAAGTACACATTATTGTAAAAATTTCTTTCATTCCAGTATAAATTCAGTATTTCAACTGGGACACCCTACGGATGTTATTTTTAAAAAAATTCAAAAATTTCAAAACAAAAAAAATTATTCTCTTTTGCACCTTGTACATTCTAAAAATTGAAATTTCAATAGAAAAATATGAATGCGAATACAAATATCGATATTGGCAAATATGCCAATAAATACTGGATATCAGGAAATATTAGACAATCTCTTGGGTTTGGCCAATTAAGTCTTGTAAATATAACTTCACTAGCTTATATAATTCTCTTTTATTCACGCTAATGCTGTACTAAAATTTGCTCTTGAAGGCGAGAGATGAAAACCAATATTTTGTTTTAACTTATTTGCTTCTCATTAAATTTGGAATTTTTTTGATTAAAAGTTATTTGAAGCTATTTTTATCAGATATGGAAGCACAGGCCCTCTCAGTCGCGACCCAAATAAAATGTATACGACTATACTTCCTTAATCCCTGTGTCCGTTTTTATTACTCGCATTTTCTTTAAGTGCAAAAGGTTTACTTTGTTGTATGTTATCAATGCAACAAACCGTTTTGAAAATAAATACATTTAACAATAAAGATACCATATTATTTCCGGGAGAGGCAGCCGGTGAACATTAAAGTAGTCATATTTTGGTAATGAAGTATAGAACTCATATATTTTCGCAGTCGATTTCTATCCTAGCATAGAGAATTTTTAAGATGAAAAAATTTGCTAAATAAATTGAAATGACGGTTGCTGACCCTGAGATTTCGGAATGGGAATATACAGGGTGATTCAGAACTTATCCAAAAAAAAATAAAAATTAGGATGTACGGGGGCCCTTACAAATACAATTTTGTAGAGAAAAAAATCAAAAGGGGCAGTTCGAAAATGATTTAAAAATATACTTCTGCACGGCACTGGAAACTGGTCCACTGTAAAACCTGACTTCGCAAAGTGGGCCCGGCATGGACAAAAACTTGAAAGAATATCGCAAGGAAAGGAATAAATAGAATTTTATAGCACCTATTTTATATCAGCAAATTCAACTGCTTTTGCCGCTATTGTTATTCTTAATTAATAAAATTAATTTATGGTTTTGGTTTATAAAATAATTTGACAATACTTGATGTTCCAACAACTGTTCAAAATTTTGTCCACCAACATGTAAACACATTTGGACCCATCATACGCAGTTTCTACGAATTGACGCAAAAATTGTTGTCTTGCTTCACCATAACATAAATGCTTCCCCATAAATTAAAACGATATCTATCAACTCCAAGTTGCTATACATGTAAGCCATTTTTGACACTAACTACTAAAAAAACTAATGTAAACATTATCGCAATGACAATTGTAAAATCGGATTTCAGTATTCCAAGCCGCTGAGGCCACGTGGTCTCCATGCGTATTACAAATGACGCTAGAGACTACAGTTGCCCAGCTATGTAATGGTTGGAAGTACAGTGCAATCTCTTTAATCCGAACACCACATTGCCAGACATTGTTCGTATTATCGAATTGTTCGGATTATCCAACATACTATAAAGATTTGTACATATGTATATTATGTAACATTTTATTATAACAATATGAATACAAATCATATAAGACTTAATAATATCATAAAACTTATATAAGGTAAAACATAAACATGTAGTTACATATACATACATGTATTATTTAACGCTTTTCACATTTTTTATTTTTCTTCCAAAAAAACTCCAAAATTGTTACACAAAACACGACACGCAACAGGCTATCAGCAAACAAATTGACATTGGGCGGACAGGCGCGAACGACTGCCAACTACGCGCGAAGCGATCTAATCTTTTCTTGTCATCGTTCAGATTTGACCGTTCAGATTAGCGTGTAACCAGATTAACGTGTGTTCGGATTAAAAAGGTTGCACTGTACTTAGTAATTTTTTTCTCGGAAACTAAGGATTTTACAAACATTTTTTTTACGATACTGACTCCATTTCTAATGCCGCATCTTTTCCCAAATTTGTTTGAATAAGTTGTGAATGGGGCAAATTTTTTTTATATTTCATAGAATACAATTTGCTTTGCAGTTACAAAACTACATAATGTATGAAAAATGAAAATTTTAATACACCTATATCTATAAAAAAAACACCTATATCTATCACTTGATTACATAAAAAATGTAACCCTTTTTGATATATCAGGGCTCTCTTTCATTTTGTGAATTTTTCCAAAATTTTTTTGTCACAAAGGTTCTACACTTTACTATCAAAATATTAATTATTTCTGATTTCCAACATTTCTAATAGTATTGAATACCTGAAAACAAGAACTGCAGCAAAATAAATTCATGTCAAAAGGCATTTGATATTATGTATTTATTTTGCTGTAATGGCAAATTTTTGTTTTTATGTATTTATTTATTTATTACTATTCAGATACATCGAAAGTAGTATGGCAATTTTATCGTTAAAAGTGTTTATCTTGAAAACAATTTGCTGTATCGATGAAAAGAATGAAAATCTTAAAAATTGTAAAAAAAATTAAAAGTTGACATGTACATTTCTCTTGAAAGGAACACTAAAATTAAACTAAAAAATAATATTGTTTCATATTTAAAGAAAAAGAAAAACATGTATTTTGATTGTACTATAGTAGGATCGCATTCGATGCAAAGTAGAGCAAAAAGTTGTTGGTCTTTTATCAAAGGAAAATCGTGTCATCATTTTTAGGAGGCGTAAGATGAAACATTTCAAATTTAAAATTAAATTGAATCTTAAATCTGAAATACCGCTGCATATGTACTGTGTTCTGGTAGTAGCTGTAGTCGCCCAGGTGCATCGAGTGTACGAAGTGGTCGGTTATATGTCAAATACAAACCTGGCGAGCTTGATCGTAAAACAGATACCAAAAACAAGTAGGTAAACAACAGTGGCATGTACAGAGGTAAAATGTAGTACATATGTGGAAATTAAAAAACAAATTGGATTTATAATAAATTACATTTAAAACAAATAGTTTATGAGAATAAAGGAATTTTTGTAAGAACAAGGGTGCCAGATGTGAACTGATCCCTTCGTCCCTTCATAATGTATAAAGAAATTATTCAATTTCTAAAACCCTTAAAAGCGTATGGCACTGGATCTCTTGACAGGCAATGATTTATTACTTTGCATCGAATATGATCCTACTATAGTAATTTCATGTTTTTATCAGAACAAAGTTTAAAAAATATTCGTTTGATTGTTTTCTTTTAAAAGTGGTATTTTCAGTTAAAAAAAATTCTTTAAGAGCTGAAATATCAAATTACAGTTTGAAGACTTACCGAGAGGACCTCTAGGTTCATGTTCAAATCTTCCTTTGTACTGTTCTATCATTTGTTTAACTCTCGGCATATTCCTCCCGTAAAGTAGTAAATTATTCCCAGATTCTTGTTTAACAGCATTCAAATTCTCTTTCTCGCCAGCTAAAAAAAGCGAATTTATCCAAGGTGTATTCCTAATACTAACTCTCATTTACCAATTCTGTGATCTATTTGTTGAATTTCCTGGCGAAGAGTTTGTTCTTCTTCTTCTTTTTGAGATAAATGGCCTTTTATCTGAAAAAGGTCATTCTTAATAGTCTCCAAGTGATCGTCTATGCCCTTCTGTTTATTTTGCAAAGCTTCTAGCTGTTTCATTCTCTGTATCTTTTGCTGCTCGACTTTGGTCATACTGAAATAGAAACAGTTTAAAATAAAATAATTAACATATTTTACTAACTCGCTTTTCATTTGAAGAACTGATGTCTTCCTCCAAAGACTTGATGTCGTTAGCTTTGGCATCGATAGTCGTTTGAATCTGTTGTTTTTCTCTCTTCTTGTCATTATACTTTCTCGATAATTCCTCAAGCTGCCGTCTGATATCGTTTTGAGGCATAGTCTGCACCCGAATCTGATCTTTTACTTCATGTATTTGTTGCTCCAATTCCCTAACAAAAATTATGAATAATATGATTGTGACTTATTGAAAAGCTAAGTACAGAACGTACAGAATTTTATTTTTAAGTTTGGCGACCCGATCCATTTGTTTGTCAGAATTCGACTTTGATTCATTCCATTTTCTTTCTAAATCGTTTACTTTAGATGTCACTTGTTCTAGCTCTTCTTCGGAATCTCTGACTTTGGCCCAAACCAGTTCCCTATGTAAATTACTCTTCTTGTCCTTTAGACTTATAATCGTTTTGTGACCCTCGATCTTCCTTTTCAACCGTTTTATTTCATCTTGCAGTTTCCTAAAACTCTATACAAAATATAACATTTGCATTTTAATTTTGTAATAAGCTTACATTTTCTTTCTCTGTCATAGTCTGAATTGATTTAGTTTTGTTTGTTTCAATTTTTTTATATTCAGATTCAAGAGTTTCCAGCTTAGTTGCTCTCATAAACAGAGTAAACTTGTTTTTAGGATCGTTACTGCTCAAAAAATTTCTAGACGTATCTTGGTTTAATATACATATAGGATTATCAACTTGAATGTTGAGACTTATAGTTATATTCTGAACTTCACGAGATTGTGTAGAAATAATTTCACCTGAAAAATTATAATAAAAAGGACAGGTCCGTTTAAAGAAATCGTGTTCAACATACCTTTTTCTGATCGTATTCTGTAGCTTCCACTTCCATTTGCTGACAAATTACGAATAATTGTAATACGTTTGCCATAAACATTTGGCCTATAGGCCATAGGTCCTTCATTATATAATTCAATTTCTATACTCCCAGAGGATTTGCCCACTTTTACAAAACCTAATTAATAGAGACATTGTAGGTCATATAACAAATTTAAATACACATATACCTTTTACGCTTGAGCCTCTATTAGTAAGACTTGCTTTTCCTCCCAAACCAACGACTAGAGCTGTTAAAATGGCACTTTTACCACTGCCATTTTTCCCAATGACGATACTTATATTATTAGTGAAATTTACTTCCAACAAAGAATGGCACATAAAATTTTTTAAGATCATGTACATAATCGTACCCGCTCTTTTCTAAAATAATAATTACTGTAATTTCGCAATCGTTGGGGAAAAACTTCCGAAGTGTTCTTTTTAAATACCTATCTCAATAAAAATTACTACAATGCAAGGAAAATTGAAAAAGAACGTGTCAATTCTTGTTCAACAGAAAGCTAATTATTTTACATTGTTGTGATTTAATCTTTTACCTGTGAATTATTATTATCTTCGTCCTCTGGAATTCTTGATTTTTTTCGAGATGTGGAGGCATTTGCTTCCTCATCTACACTTAACTGCGAAAGTGGCTTTCTTTTTCGGTTACTCTATTGGCAAAGATAAAATAACTTGGTTATATTATATTATATATGTAACAAATAAGTTAGTAATTATTATTTACGTAAAATATAATTAAATGAATCAAAAAAATTATTCGAATAAAGAACAAACGATTCTACAAGATTACAAAATGTTCTTACCATTTTAACTTTATCAACTGTATGCTATCCTCGGTAAGTTTAAAAACTAATAATTTATCAATTATCAATTCTGGGTATCAGTTTAATATTTTTCCTTGTCATTATCTACAGTTATTACATGAACTTCGCTCAGTTTTTAATAATGTTTGACATTTTTGTAACGCGGTTAGTCAAATGCCAAACGCCAACGCCAATTAAAATTAAATGTTTGGAGGTAAATATTAAGTATGACGTTCACAATCTCCACAATGTTCACAACACAAACATACAATAGAGTTCACATTCTTTTTTCTGTTTTGTGGTTCACATATTCAGTTGTTACTTTAGTTTGTTAGTTTGTTACTTTTGTTTATGGTGTAAGATGTGCAAAAGCAAAGTTTAAAACCACAAATCTAAAATTTGTATTTGGAACGCATTAATTACTCCATTGTTTCAAAATCCATAAATTGTATGTATTTTACCTTTTATGATTATTTGAATGACAACAAGACAAAAGTCAAGTTTTTTCTAAAAATGGATGTGTTTAACATGTCAACTTAATAATTTAATTTTTAAAATGTAATTGTTTTATAATATAGCATGAATTAGTAAAGTAAATGTAGAAAATGTATTTCCCAATCGGTTGGCCAAAAGTTATAAAAATTTCGGAAGAGGGACAGGGTGCAGTAAGAGAAATAAAATGTAATAGAGATAGAATTTTGTTTGCTATTTTAACTGATGATTCTCTAGCAATATGGTTTTGCAAGGTAATGATGTCCTCACTTTTAATTGAACTCTATAACTTTGAACCTTTTCAGCCCTGCGTCCCTATAGTGTTTCAACGTCGCTCAACAAAATCTTTAGAAAAATTTGGGACAAACGTTACTGCAGAATGGAAACCAGATTCAAGTATGATCGTTGTTGCTGTAAGTTCTTGTTGTAAAACTGTCAGTTATTTTTAATGTCTTACCATATGTTATATAGACCTCCGAGGGACATCTGTTATTTTACAAACTAGATGTCCCCTCTGATCATAAAGGGTTATATGTCCAGACTGATTCACCACATGCTAATTTACGAAGGGACAGTGCAGAGTTATTTATAAAGGAAACTATACCACCACTTTCACTGACATTGGTAAGGTTGTAACGAAATATGAATAAGAACTTATTCGTCAATATTTTAGAGTGAAGAAGTTATGGTTTGGGATGGCAAAATTACTGGCATGGTGTGTATAACCATGAGCGAATTAATGTTGGCTACTACAGAGAGTCATGTACTGAGGTATCGCTGGGACGGGACTCAAAACAGAGATTACACCCTCGATTTAAGAAGAATTCCATTCTGTATAAATCAACAAGTATCAAAAGCTGTTCCTATAGTCGAAGAAAACACCTATATTGTAGATATAGAATATTCACCATTGGTGGGTGGATTCTCAATAGTGTTAAATGATGGCAGAGCTGCATTTTTAACCGCATCATCCTTAAAGTTCGATCCAAATCAGGTTCAAGGTATATGGGCTCAGGGAATCGAAGACGCTACATGCACTACAATAAACCATAAATATAGGTTGATAACATTTGGCCGAGCAAATTCTGAATGTATCGTTTACTATGTCGATGAAAGTACTGGGGGTTTGGAGATATCCCATAACTGTATTCTAAGCAGCAAAGATTACCCTGGATGTCCTGGATCAGTAGGAAAGGTGCTGTGGACTCCAGATGGATGTGCTTTGGTAGCTTCGTGGTCTAAAGGAGGTATAGCGATGTGGTCTACTTTCGGAGCCCTCCTTATGTGTTCGCTAGGATGGGATTATGGACTCAATGTTGATATTCAGAAGTGTAACCCTTTGCAAATATCATCAATGGTAAGAATATCAATCCATTTTTCATGGATTCTTTTGCAATCGTGTATCTTGAATATCAGCTTTGTGGATATTAAAAGCAATTTTTCTTTAAGGAATTTGCTACTGAAGGGTACCAGTTATGGATGGTTCGAAAACATATTGAAGAGGCGACTATTGATGATAATACCAAATGCGACACAAACGGTAACGTTGACTCCAACAAACAAACATGTTTGACAAGTTTGATACAACTAGATTTCGTCAAAAGTGCTTTAACAATAAATCCTTCTATGGTAAGTAATTTTAAAAATGTTGTACTGGGTACTACAAAAAAGTATGTCAAGTTATTAACAAGTTAATCTACTTTTTTGTAATACTCTGTATTTAATAAAACAATAGAAAGAAATGCTTTTTTAGAGCCATCAGAGCCACCTATATTTACAAGGCGAGGATAAACTGTACGTCAATTCCGCAGACACTCTGATTAGAATGTTTGCCGATAGATCATGTAAAGATGACGTATTTGGTGATGGTGCCTCCTCTTTGACCAGCACATTAGCCGAGGGACGGCAGTGGCTAGTCGTACCTGTCCCTTCGACATATTCCGCCACGAATTGGCCCGTGCGGTATTCGGCAATCGATTCTGACGGCCAGAACATGGCGATTGCCGGACGAACGGGGCTGGCACATTATTCCATGCAGTCGCGTCGATGGAAGCTTTTCGGCAACGAAACTCAAGAGAAAGATTTTATCGTGGCAGGGGGCTTGCTATGGTGGCGTGATTATATCGTGTTGGGATGTTACAGCATAGTAGATAATGCGGACGAACTCAGGTTTTATCCTAGGGAGGCGAAATTAGACAATAAGTTTGCTAGGATAGTGAGAGTGGCCGCACCAGTTTTGTTGATAAATATTCTTCAGGATCAGCTGATCACTTTTGGATCTGATGCCCTGGTGGTCATTTGGCATTTGAAGCAGAACGATTCAGGTAAATTTTTAAAACTTACTATTTTATTTGAAATGATGGAGGTCAATCATTTTTATATTAGTTTTCTTTATTTTTAATGGATTTAATTAATTTTATGACTAATCCTTTTATAGTCCAGGTGGTATCTGTTTCGGGTTGGGTAAAACGCATATGATCGGAAATTTTTGCTTTAACGGCTTCTAAATAACATCAGAAATGATAATTTTTCTATGCAAATAAAAAAAATGTGGGCTTAATTATTATTGCAAAAAAGTATAAAAAAATAGCAAAAATAATTCATTTTTTTCTTGGATTTCTCGTCGACAACTTAGCAACCATTCGTTTTAGACAAAAATGGAAGAGGATAAAAAGTTTTGTAATTAAATTTTGAGCAAGATAGATAGTTGCAATTCGAAAAAAAAATTGTTGTTATAAATAAAAAATCTGATGATCTGCCCATTATTTTTGGAGTTATAGCCCGTTAAAGTTAACCTTTATTTACAGCACAACTAGAAGGGTATAAGGGCTGTTTTTTGAACTAATAGGTTTGTCATTCCGAGTACTTTCCAGATATAAATTTTCAAAATTTGCTATCACAGGCGTTCCATTTAAAATATCACTCAAAGATATTCAAGACCGCGTGAAATCAATGAGGTATCAGTGGTCGGGAGAGCAAACACACAGCTACTCCGATCTGAATTCTCAAGTTCAAAACTGCGACGCTCGGCTTCTAATGGACCAATTGCGATGATTTTTTTATAAATCGATCTCGCAACTTAAAAAATTCAATTATCATATTTTCAACTACCTTTTATTATTAATTATTGGACTTTTGACATGCCGATAAACAGTTACTTTAAAAAAAGAAGAGCAATAACAATAATTATTTTTTCGAATTGCAACTAACTTTATCTTGTTCAAAATTTAATTACAAAACTTTTTTTCCTCTTCAATTTTTGTCTAAAATGAATAGTTGCTAAGTTGTCGACGAGANTTTTTTTTATTTTAAAATATGGTTTGAAAGTACTCGGAAAGACGAGTATTTAAAATAAAAAACCTGATGATCTGCCCATTATTTTTGGAGTTATAGCCCGTTAAAGTTAACCTTTATTTACAGCAAAACTAGAAGGGTATAAGGGCTGTTTTTTGAACTAATAGGTTTGTCATTCCGAGTACTTTCCAGATATAAATTTTCAAAATTTTCTATCACAGGCGTTCCATTTAAAATATCACTCAAAGATATTCAAGACCGCGTGAAATCATTGAGGTATCAGTGGTGGGGAGAGCAAACACACAGCTACTTCGATCTGAATTCTCGAGTTCAAAACTGCGACGCTCGGCTTCTAATGGACTAATTGCGATGATTTTTTTTTAAATCGATCTGGCAACTTAAAAAATTCAATTATCATATTTTCAACTACCTTTTATTATTAATTATTGGACTTTTGACATGCCGATAAACAGTTACTTTAAAAAAAGAAGAGCAATAACAATAATTATTTTTTCGAATTGCAACTAACTTTATCTTGTTCAAAATTTAATTACAAAACTTTTTTTCCTCTTCAATTTTTGTCTAAAATGAATAGTTGCTAAGTTGTCGACGAGAAATCCAAGAAAAAAATGATTTTTTTTGCAATTTTTTATACTTTTCTGCAATAACAATTAAGCCCACGTTTTTTTTTATTTGCATAGAAAAATTATCATTTCTGATGTTATTTAGAAGCCGTTAAAGCAAAAATCTCCGATCATATATGTTTTACCCAAGTAAACCCTTTTTAAAACAGATGCCGCCTGGACTATTAATAATATGTCACATTTACTGTAGAAGGTGTCTCCCAAACACCGGCACCTCCATAGATATGCACACATGAGCTTAAAAATATTTAAAATCATTGTGTGAACAAATATTATTTTTTTGATGTTAGTCGTTTGGCTCCTGAAAGGCTGAAAATAGAGAGGCAAATCCATTTTAACATTTATTTTACAAAATAAATACACTGCTAATGGGTTACTTTTCTTGTGGAGTGCAGAATCGCTAGACATGGACTGGCTTTTCGTGATCGACAGGTTTCTGGCCATCAACTGACTCCCATTCACCAAGTTTCCAGGGTTTAAATATTCTTTACAAAATGATGAGTGCATTAGAACTAAACAACCTATTAATATTTCTGTACCAAAAATGATTGTATTTCCTATGCATTCATTCTCATTTAACAAAAAGAAAATAATCAATTTTGTTTAATAATTTTGAGAAGCATAACACCCAAAATGCATACTTTGTTTTATTATTTTTACAAATTTTGTTCTTTGTTGAAGTTTGTACCACTTATTCAGGGATACCGATATAAAAAAATCCTATAATTTCATTTTAGTTGGAGATGTGGACGTCATCAAGTTGCAAGCAGTCGATATATCGGCTTTGGCGGTGCATCCCGCTTGCATCGCCTCTATCACCCTCACTTCTTTAAGGACAGAAACCGGTCGGGGCCAAACAAGGCCTTCTGAAAGCATAGTATTAAATGTGAGCGGTCGTCTCTTGATGGTACAGAGAGAGATGCGTAACGGTGAGAAATACACTTGTCTGATGCCAACGGTGCTGGCAAGTTGTGTGGAAAACGTATGGGTGCCTGCTCAGAGAAGGCCAGATAAGGTAATTCCAGCACTTTCGATGAAATATTTTATTGACTTGCGCTAATATCTTTTTTTATATATTTAGGCCCATTTGACCGAAGCTTTGTGGTTGTTTTGCGGAGCCCATGGGATGAGAGTTTGGTTACCACTGTATCCGAGAGATGGAGATAAAACGCATACTTTTATGTCCAAACGGATTATGCTGCCTTTTCATTTACGTATATATCCCCTCGGTGAGCTATTCCCCCATGTTTTTCTAATTTTGTTTTACGAATTGTCTTATTTTTTTTCCAACAGCAATACTTTTCGAAGACGCAATAATATTAGGAGCTGAAAATGATACCGTCCTGTATACATCTGATTCTAATTCTCCGTTTTCTTTACCTTTCAGCGTATTACAAAGAACCGTAAGTTAGTGAATATGCCTTCGGGAGGAGATGTTTAAATATTTTTTTGTAGAGTCAGGTTTATCTGCACCAGATACTGCGCCAGCTGATAAGGAGGAATTTGGGTTATCATGCTTGGGAAATTGCAAGGAGCTGCATGAGTCTTTCTTACTTCCCTCATTCCTTAGAATTGTTATTACATGAGGTAATATATTGCAATATAAAATATATTTCCAGTAATAATTACTAAATAATCAGTCTTGATTAGAGTATAGTCTTTATATTTCATTTACATGAATATTTGATGAAATGTTGCCAAAGCTACCCCAAATTCAGGAATTTGATAAATTTATTTTAAGATAGCACTTGAAACGGTCTAAATGTTGTTATATAAATCATACTTACAGGCTTCATACATTTTAAAATAACTACTAGAAAGGTAGGCAAGTCCGCTGATGCAGACTTGACCTTTCTCTCGGACCTTGTGGAGACATATGCAATGTTCCAGATATTTGCCAAAGCTCATCCAGATTTTTAATGCGGAACCGGGTAATCATTCCACATTATAAAATTATTTATTACAAACACACTAGGTAATCCACGCGGACGCCCCTACTTTCAAACTGAAATGTCGTGCCTAATGACTGGGTCCAGTTTGGAACAATAAAATAACGACACATTGTGGCCCCAGCTGTCAGAAAAACAGCCGTAAGTGGTAAAATAGTTTTGATATGCTGCCTGACATCTATCAATCTGTCGATAAATGGCCATTTTGTCTTGTATCTCTCTTCCACAGCTAAATAAAATATTTTTGCGAAAGTTGTGTTATAAAACCGCTTGACAGCTCGTCAAAATGCCCCATTTAAGTGCAGAATCGTGGAGCGAAAGGGAGAGACAGCTTTTAATATACAAGGTGTAACTTTAAGTGGGGATTAGTTTTTTAGGGGTAATAGTGAGTGTTCCCCTGAATACGAATCTGAAATTCTTTTTTTTAATTAATTTTGAGTTATAATTAGTTTTTTAAAATGCACTTCAATACTTAGGTACACCGCTATTGTAATATTCATGTATTACAAATAATACTCGTACATGAATTGTAGGCAATCTACAGTGCATGTGAAGGGAGATAGTGCGGGTCAACGGTGATAAACTGTGAATTTGAATGTTTTTCATCGCTAGAAGCCATGAACAGACTATTTATTTTTGTGTATTTCATTTATCATTATTGATTACTGCTTGAGTTTTTTTGCAATGTTACTTGTTAAGTACTATTTGTGTGGCGGCGAACACCCACTCAACAAAAGTAACTCGCGGCGAATGGTGTGGAATTGTGTACACGCTGCGACTAAAGTATGCCGTTATTTGAGGTTACACTAGCTTGACCAGCACCGGGGCACGAAAATTATTTAAAAAAAAATTTTATGACGGAATTTGAAAAATGTCTTAATAGGCGTTTCTAAAGAAAGGAAGCTCACTCAAAGTTACACCCTGAATAAGTGTAATATTTGAAAATGTAATTTACAGTTTCGACACAAAAAATTCCCAGAACTGGAGCAAAAATTGATAAACTGGCAGCGCTGTGTAGTTGTGCTCGAGCATAAGTGTGTAGACAATACATGGATCTGAGTGATTATTTTGACTAATTAACACAATTTTGTAATGATTTATTTTGTTGTATTATGAATTATAAAGGGAAAGATGTCTCTGAAGCAAGTAATAATAATAAAAATGTTTAATTCGTATAACCTATAACCCCCATTCAAATATATCCAAGTATATTGGTTTGTTCTAGGTCTTAGAAGAAGAAGCGACGAGTAAAGAACCAATACCTGATGCCCAGTTACCCAGCGTAATCGAATTTATAATGGAATTTTCCGTATATCTGCAAACCGTGGTGCAGTGTGCGAGAAAAACCGAAATTGCATTGTGGCCTTACCTTTTCTCAGCTGCTGGCAAGCCAAAGGATCTCTTTCAGGAATGCATGGCCAAGGGACAGTTGGACACTGCCGCCTCTTACCTTATTATATTGCAGGTAATAACCAGTGGTGGCTGGTGAAAATTTAATTATTTTGACAATGATGAGTGGGACACATACCGTTTTCTAGAGGATGATTTCTATGCTTACATAGACAACTGTCACATTGAAAAAAATTCGAATGAAACTTGTAATATAAAAAATTTAAATAGGTGTTGTCAACACCAAGATCTCAAGAGGGGTTGTTTTTTAAGGGTAGTGGTATGTATACCCCAGAATACTAATCTGAAATATATTTTTTTAATCAAATGAATAGTCAAGTTATAGTGTGTTTCTTAAACTGCACTTAATTAAAGTCTTGTCTACGTCGCCACCAGGCGAAGTAGGTGGTTGTATGCACACGTTTATCGGTGTTGTGTTTTTACTTTTTTAAACCAACTTTATAGAACAAACTAACAAACTGGCAGAAGATGAACCTGCAATGGAAAATAATTTTGTTAAAATAAACTGATTTGACTTTGCAACATGCTATTTTAAAATCATGACATTGTGTTTGTTGGCATAAACAAAGCGGTTAACATTAAAAAAAAATGTTTTTTTAATAATTAATATTTTTTGCTTGTTTTATAAAATATACTTAATGAAAAGTAAATAAAAATACTTACTAATCTGTAGATTTGAAATATTTTTTAAAATCATTTCAATTTTTTAGTAAACCGTATTTGTTACTATTTTTTTGAAGCACTATGTTTAGTTTATGAATCTCAGTGTCAGTGACCTCTAACATCGACCTAGTTGATATTATGAACTACAGTCGGATATCAAAATAATAGGCAGTGATTTCATCTTTAATCCGGCTCACCATTTTTAACAGTCAACACAAAGAGAAGTACGAGCTGTTTGTAAATTCTTCATATAAAATTGTGTGTGCCGCATTCTCCCACAGCAGTCGATACTGCACAGTTTTAGGAATTCTGCTGCAGCAAATTCTAGACTTTCATTGGTGCTTGGTGCGTGACGTCACTTGGATTTCATTTGGCGTGCACCGGATATTCCTCTGCTGCAACAAATTCTACACCTTCATTGGTGTTTCAATTGGGCTGCGTTCATTCGGATCTGAGTATTCCTCTCGGCACAAGCAAATAGGCGTACGCGCGGGAGAAGTCCGACGATATCTTTCCATTAATTTAGTTGTGATCGTAATTAATTTATTAGATTTTGAGTTTGTATTCTTCAAATACAAACTCTTCAAGCTCTACGGTGTGTTCTCGTAATAGTAAGCATCTAACATCTAACAAGGCAGGAATGTCAGATGATAAAAAACGTGTATGAAGGGCTTATTGCGCGAAACCAAAATATGAGTGTGTTCATTAACAAGAGTGTTGGTAAGAAGTGTATATCGTGCAATAAGGAGTGGCAAAGAAGTCTCGACTGCAAAACAGAAAAGAGTGGAAACTCGCCGAAGGAAAAAGATAGATGTTGATGACGACACAAAATATGCGAATCGCAGAATAATTCATGGATGGTATTTTAAAAATGAGCTTCCGACAATAAAAAAAATTCAGGCTGCTATTTCACAGCATCAAAATTTGCCTAGAATATCCAGAAGGGTGGTTTTGTGAACTATGCATGACATGAATTTCCGTTTTATAAAATGAAATCGAAAGAGTATGGTGATAGAAAAAGTGGAAATAATGATATGGCGAAGAAACTATTTGAGACAAGTATTAGAAGTTCGAAAAATAAATCGTAGAATATATTACACGAACGAAACATGGAAAAATTAAGGTCATACGGTGACAAAAGTATGGCAAGATGTTAATATCCAAAGAAAACGGCAGGCAATTCTGGAAGGATTTTCAACTGAAGTGATAAATAGTAGGCAGTATTATATTCTGTGTATTATTATAAGTGATAAAGTGTGATATCCACGGCGTGCGCATCAGGTAAGTGTAATTGGGTGGTGGTGGACCATCGCCATCTGAAAGGGCGGCACTCAACAATTGTTGACAGGATGACAGCCTTTATAAGCCTTTTAAAGTAACTATTCACCGTGAACTTATTTTTTATAATTTTTTGTTCTCAATTAGCACGCCTATTGAATTTTGTCTCCTGCACCCCTCACCTCCCTTACTCGTCTAAGTGCTGGATTTGAATCACTGCCCATTTTTATGGTACTCGGGTATACGTAATATCAATCCACCTGATGTGATTTGACAACTTGGCATTAGGTGGACCAAAGACAAACGGCCAACATTAATTTGACGAAATGAGAATGGTCGAATATGTCACTACTTCATTTTATTACATTTATTTTATTTTTCAATTATTTATTGATCAAATTGATCATTTTAATTTTTTATTTCTCAAATTTAATTTAAAATTTTTTCATTATGATTTCATTTATATATGGGTCTAAAAATCACCCCCTAGAAAATAATATGGGTTTTATTATCGAAATATGACCACTTTCACACAGAAATTCAGGCTTTAATTTAATTTAAATACCTACATATTGTACTTTAGAGTTAATATGCACTTTTTAGAATTTGGAGACCTCTTCAGTCAGTAGACAATACGCCACCCTACTCCTAAACACTGCTCTAGACAAGTCGAAATGGGAACTCGCAAAGGAATTAGTACGCTTCCTTAGAGCAATAGGTATTTAGTAAAAAAAATTAAACAATACCCCCACTGACTTTTTGTCATTGTAGACCCTAATGATGTCGAGTCGGAATCTCCGCGCACTTCTTTCATCTTACCAGCTAAATTGGGGTTGTCTCAGCAAACCCCGCCTGTTACCCCTAACGCGGAGGATATTTCTCTTATTTTGGGTAACGTACAGGGTCCCAGAGTGCGCAGCTACAGCACGACCATATCCCCGAAAATAGCCGAGAGAGCCAGCAATGCCATCGGGAACATGAATTCCCTCGCAGAGTCTCCGAAATCTGCTAGGAAAAAATCTGTGCCAAACTCCATCGGAAATCAAAAAAGCGATAACAGGTATATTATCAAATCTCATAATTAACATATTGTCCCATTTTTTCATTTCTTTATCAATTTTGGTATTTCTAGGGGATCACCAAGCAATACTGCCGAAGAATTTTTCATAGACGTAATCTTACAAAAGCATGCCCGGAGGCTATTGTCTGCACGTCGGTTGACAGATTTGGGCTATTTCGCTGCTCATTTGGACTTTCATCTTGTAGCTTGGTTAGGTAAAGAGCGAGACAGAGCCGCTAGAGTAGACGATTTCGTGAAAGCATTAAAACAGGTCCACGAGGACTTCAATTGGCCATATCCTTCTCCAGCTGCGATTTTAACTGGAGGAAGTTCTGGTAAGTCTTGTATATACTGTGGAAGTTCTCTATACAGGGTGATTCACAACTTATCCAAAAAAATTTGGGAATAGATGCGGCATGAGAAATGGAGTCAATATTGTAAGACATTTTTTTGTAAAATCCTTATAGTTTCTGAGAAAAAAATTATTTAAGTTATAGCACATTAAACCAATACATAGCTGGACAACTGTAGTCTCTAGCGTCATTCGCAATACACGTGGAGAGCCATGTGACTCCTAATACTGAAATCCGTCGTTGCGGTAGTTTTTACCTGTTATCTGTGGTATTTACATCAGTTTTTTAGTAGTTAGTGTCAAAAATGGCTTGCGTGTATAGCAACTCAGAGTTGATGGATATCGTTTTAATTTATGGTGAAGCAAGACAACATTTGTATTATGGTGAAGTATTTGTGTTATGGTGAAGCAAGACATCATTTGTGTTAGTTCGTAGAAAGTGAGTAAGACGGACCCAAATGTGTTTACATGTAAGCGGATAAAATTTTGAACAATTGCTGTTGCAGCATCGGGTATGTCAAACGATTTTATTATTTAAAAACACAAATTAATTTTATTAATAATTAATAAAGGCAAAAGCATTTGAATTTGCCGATATAAAATAGGTGCGATAAAATTCTATTTACATATTTCTTTCCTTGTGAAAGTTTTTGTCCGTTTTTATCACGCCGCCATACCGGTCGCATTGTGCGATGTCAGGTTTTACAGTGGACCAGTTTCCAGTGCCGTGCAGAAGTGTATTTTTAAATCAATTTCGAACTGACCTTTTTGATTTTTTCTTTACAAAATTGTATTTGTAAGGGTCCCCTGTACATCCAGAATTTTTTTTTTGGATAAGTTCTGAATCACCCTGTATGGTGTCCGCAGAAGTGTCATACGTGTGTCCTAAACTTAACTAATTTACATGTCCAAGCGTTATATTAACTCAATTCCAACAATCTGGCAACATAGCCTCAACTATACTTATCAGTTTGAGCATTATTCAGTTGCGATACTTTTTCTGTTGTTTTTATTGTTTCCCAAACAGCGCTCTCTCCGGAAATTGACCACGGGTGGTAATTGATGTGTTACATTGTCGTCATCAGTTGATTAGTATTCACCATTTCTCTTATTAATTATCACCAAAAATTGGAATTTTTTGGTAATTTTGGAATGTTAAACCTTAACCGATTGTAAAATGGTAGTTGGTTGTTAGTTATCTGTCATTTGGTTCTTATTGTAGTGTTGTTGAGGAATAATTTTTTATGCAAATGTATTATTTACTTGTCACGTGTTATTAATTTACGGGAAAACAAAATGTAATTGGAATGAAGCCTAATGTATTTATGGTAACCAGTGTCCAGACAGACCTTCACCAGATTATTTGAAGCAAATTGTAGGCAATAATTTTATCAACAAAATTCTAGTTATACAGACGATTTCTACTCTTTTCTATATTTTTGGACTTAATTTTCAAAAGTTCTAGATCTTCCACCTTTTCGCAAAAAACCATGAACAAGAAAATTGTCATTTTTCCTCAATCTCATTGATTTTTGGATTGCAGGTTGTCTCAATCCAGAGGGAAGTAAAGCATTTCTGTAGGCTTTAAAGACTTTATAACAGTTTGCTGAGGGCTTTGAGCTTTTTTGAGGCCAGGAAGGAAAAATGAATCAGATTACACAAATTTATTCACCGTAGGTTGGCTAAATGTCATCTGTGTGGTGTTCGAGAGTGATTAGTACTTCAAATTAGTGAAACTCAGTAGTACAACACGTTTAGAATTTGAAAATTTTGGATTTTCCCTAGAAAATATTCAGCACTATTTTTTCAGTGAATAATTTCACTAATTTTGGATTAATTTGAAACTCTGGAGACTAGGTTATAGACCCCGTGAGCTAACGCACATGGGTGTGGCATCTTCGAAAAATGAAGTTAATGAAAGTAAGGGTGGTTTTAAGGGACGACCCGTGTTCGAAAATTTGGAAAATTAATTTCCTTTTGCATAAAATAATTAGTTTTTCAATCATCTTAAAGTGTCGTTTACTTTTTGTCTGGCAATCGAAACAATGAAAATTTTTGTTATGAAAATGATAAAAATAAATTGCCAGACGGTTTCCAATGTTCGGAGTCGAATATCTCTGCGGAAAATTATATGAAAATGTTTAACATTTTTCAGTGATCACTATTTGTCTGGTATCTCGGGTACTTAAAATTAATACCCATATTTCTTGTCACAAAAGATTTGCCAGACAAATTGGAAATGGAAAAATTGTGCCAGACAAAAGAAAATTCGTAAAAATATATTAAAGTTTAAATGATTTATTTTTGTACCAGACAAGTTGAGATGTTCGAAAATGTATAAATGAATTGAAAAGTTACAAAAAAATTAATAAAAACTTGTTTTCTTTTTTATCTAATATAAACGATTTATTTTTGTCTGGCATTTTGCATTATTATTGAAAATACATATTTATACTTCAGGTTAAAACACCAGACAAGTTGGGTTGTTCGAAAATTAAAAGAAAAATTAAATTAAATTAAATAGTTGTAAAAAAAAATAATGAAAACTTCAGTGTCTTTTTTTTGTCTGGCAATTTGTTTTTTGATACAAAATACACTTACAAACTCAAATTAAAAATGCCAGACAAGTTGGGCTGTTCGAAAATATAAAAATAAATAAGCAAAGTTATAAAAAAATACATTTTTTTTCGACTTAGACAAAAAAATTAGAAACCCAAGTTTTTGTTAATTTTTTTATAACTTTTTAATTCATTTATACATTTTCGAACAGCTCAACCTTGTCTGGCATTTGTATGTTGTGTTTATATGCATATTTCTAATTGAAATGCAAAATGCCAGACAAAAATAAATTATTGAAATTTTTATAAATTCCAACTGCTATTAGCCATTAGTAAATTGATGTGACTGTTTTCCACCCTGCGGAAGATGTCATCCATTGTTGTGTGTTGTTCTCACTCTTGGGCCAGTGGGAACAGATGAGGTCTCCTTAACATGTGATGTAATGTTTATATTTTCATAATACTCATTGCTGGACTTGCTATAATTCTCCTGAAGTTGTTAACCCCTACTTTCATCCAAAATTTTCTGTTAAGGTCACATAAGACTGCGTTTATTTTACGGTATTGTTATATATTAAACATATGAGTCTATAGTTTCATTGTTGACGTCATATGTGTCAATAAATGATAAATAAATAAATAAACATCATACTTCCCCTGAGGATAAAGACAAAAAGAAACTGCTGCTGTATCAAATGTAGATATGGCACATATACTGCGGATACCTTATTAATATCACAGATTATAAGGCAAACATCCGAAACGTAATCTTTTAGTACCTCAGTCTCCGGTGGACACAAATACACATATCATGGACGATCACCTGCGATCTCTAAAACTGGACGTATTCAACTACCCAACGACTTCTAGTAGAGTCGGTGATAGCGGCTATATGTCCTTCCAAGGCCTACACGGTTTGATAACACCCATGAACGCTCTAGAACAATCCAGCCAGATAGCAGAGACTGAAATCGACGAGGAAAGCCTGTGCGAGAATCAAACTGGCAAACAAGATAAATCCCAAAAGAACGATCATATCCTGGATAGGAAGTTGAGCGAGAACTTTGGCGCTAGCCTAAATCTGAAAACAACGGTTTTAGCTACGGCTGTGGACGAATCCATGATGAGTACCGTCAGTTCGGTTTGGGGTGACGATAGAGAGATCGGGACTTCGGGTACGGATAACTGGGAGGTTCCTTCCTCGCAGATTTTGGAGCAACTGTCGAATATGGACAGTAAGGGGTCGCATCGGTCTGAGGTGCAGTTAAGGTTAGCGTAAAGATGAAATCAGTATAAATTAGTTTTCCTTTAACTTAATTTTTGTTTTAGATATCTCTTACAGCTGTTCATGGAGGCTAGTTGTCTGGAATGGTCGCTTTTGATTTCGGTTTTACTACGAGACGCGATGGCGGTTCTACGAACTGTGAACGCCGCTAAATCGCATGATCAGTCAATTGAAGCCGCGTCCAGGCTCCGGCAAGGTATACTCATCTTGAATTATTGGACAAATACAGAATGGTAAGCATATTACAGTACATAAATGTCAATAAATTTCTTCCGGATTTAATAATAAAAAGTATTTTAGTTTCATAGTTTTTAAAAAAATTTTAAATTACTATACAGGGTATTTTGTTTAGAAAAGATATCTCAAAAACCAAACTAATATCCAAGTTGTGGAAAAAATATTGTGTAGTACACATAAATGACTTAGTTCTGAGTACACTCCAATTCAAAGAAGCTTTTTACATGGATTATACGAAAACTATCAAAAACATTTCATTTTTACTTAGCCTTGGGTATAAGCCCTTCATGGTGGCAATACAGAATCAAGTTTCCGTCCTGACGAAAATCCTGGAAACAAAAATCCAGCACCAGCAGATCATTGAGTATCAGCAAGCGGTATCGGCGACGTTGGACAAAGTCGTGTCGCCCAAACCCAGGTCTCGCAAGCCAAGCTCAAACCAAGACGGCGGCAGCGTTCAGAGCGCCGCCAAAGAGAAGAAGGGCGCTAGCGTCGCCAGCAACCACTCCAACGACAAGCTCAATGACATTAATAACTCGAGTAATATTAAGGAGAGCTCCGTGAAAGACATTATCGATAATCAACTCGTTCAAGAGAATACCAGGTGCGTCATTTCTTAAATTGTAACGTTACGTATAGCTTTCTTAACGCGATTCGAATAGTTTCTTCTGGGTTGACAGTACAAATTATTTTTTTACGATTGCCGGGATACTTGTGCTGATTAGAAACAAGAGGGAGGTACTTGAAAACGGAGATGTACAAGTAGTCCAATCAAATTGTCGAAAATACCTCATTTTTTGCCAAAAAATAGTTCAGTAATTGAAAATATGTAAAAATTAGGAAAAATTCCGTAGAATTCAATGAACTACTTTACCCCACCTGAATTTTTGGGCTTCATTTTCAAAATGACGTCCAAAGTTCGCAAAAAACAGATTTTTTCATTTATAAAAAAAAGTAAACATTTTAGAAAAAAATGTTTCAAACAAAAGTTGTAGGAATTTTTAATACGGATCGAATAAGTCGAAACCGGTTTTGACCGATAAATAAATTAATTAGTTATTGCAAAAAAAAAACGCTAAAAATTGCATATTTTTTCAAATAGCCGTCTCTCAAAAATAAAAATTTTCATATGAGACTTGGTGAAAAGATAGCTCTTGATGAGCAAAATAAAATAATTTTTTCAAAATTGAAAAATATTTAATAGTTTTTGCTAAAATCGAGTTTTTCTAAAAAAAAACGTTTTTGTAAAATCCCCATAATTCATAGGCCGCCACATCTTTAGGAACGGGGTTGGGTTTAAAATTTTCTTTAATAATAACACTATCATGTGCAAATATTTCGCGAGCCCCAAATCGATTTCAAATATTGCAAAAAACTATCGAAAAATCATTTTTTTTTTCGGGGCCATAAAACTGATTCATTTTTTAATTTCAATTCGTATCAAAATGTCGATACTGCCATTCAAATGTTGACATTTTTTCATGAATTTAAAGAAAAGTCTGTCCTACGATCAACAGGGCCGAGAAATTTTTTTTTTTTTTCGAGAAATTGCCACGACCTCATTTTAGTAGGAGATTTTTTTTTTAAATTCGTGCAAAATATCAATTTTGGAAGGGCAGTATCGACATTTTGATATGAATTGAAATCAAAATGTTATTCAAAAGTTTTATGGACCCGAAAAAAAAAACGATTTTTCTATTGTTTTTTGCGATATTTGAAATCGATTTGAGGCTCACGCAATATTTGCACATAATAGTGCAATTATTAAAGAGAATTTTAAGCCCAACCCCGTTCCTAAAGATGTGGTGGCCTATGAATTATTGGGATTTTACACATACGCTTTTTTTTCGAAAAACTCGATTTGTGCAAAAATTGTAAAATATTTTTCAATTTTGAAAAAGTCATTTTATTTTGCTCATTAAGAGCTATCCTTTCACCAAGTTTCATAAATAAAATATATTTTTGAAAGAGATACAGCTATTTGAAAAAAATTTCCATTTTTAGCATTTTTTTTGCAATTAATTTATTTATGGATCAAAACCGGTTTGGGCTTATTCGATCCGTATTAAAAATTTCTAGAACTTTTTAGTTTTTTTTTATAAATGAAAAAAATGCTTTTTGCGAACTTTGGACGCCATTTTGAAAATGAAGCCCTAAAACTCAGGTGGGGGCAAAGTAGTTCATTGAATTTTACGGAATTTTTCCTAATTTTTACATATTTTCAATTACTGACCTATTTTTTGGCACCTGAAAAAGTAATTTGATTAGACTAAAGTACGAGTCTTTACAAAATTAATATTTTTTACTTATTTTAAATGAAATAATTTATCCTAAGTCAAACAACAAACTTATTGGTAATTCTTTGTTGATGAATTAATTTTGTAGAGTGTATGTACATTATTTGAGTGGTACAATTATTGATTTTAAAGGAGGTTAATGCAATTCTTCGCCATTTTTTTTGTAAGGTTTATTCTATTTCATAATTTGTGAGTCAGAACTTGCAAAATATGCATAGGGGAAACTATTTTCATTTTATATTTGAATTTAAAAGGTGTGTAAATGCAAAACTCGAGTATGACAAGTTTTACGGCAGATTTTTTTATACAGCGGCAACAGAAATACAAGTGGATGTCAATGTAAGGCTCTGTTAGAGACAGTGAAGTGAAATGATTACCTACCTTTTACAATACTTCTTTAATAAATAATTCAAACATATCCTGAAATTATTCAATGTTCTTCATATCATCATATCACTTGATTGAATCTCTTGAATTTTTGTCACGGCAGACTTTTCTTCGGCATGTTTTGTATTCGTGTTAACATTAACCTAAATAATAAGAATAATCAAGGAATTAGATCTACATTTTCTAAAAAAAAACTGACGTTCTTTGTCGCTTTGGTTTTGCTTTATAAGTACAAATTAATTTATAGATCGCCGGAACAGTTCTCATAACGATCATACAAATATATCCATTTTATTAACAATTTCAAAGAATACTATCCAGTTTTTTCTTATACAGGGTGTCCCGAAATTCATGCATCAAAATTTGGTCACAGATTGTTAAGACAAATTTAGGGGACCCATATTTTTTATTTTTGCCAAGTGGCCCCCTCTTTCGGAGTTACAGCCCCCTGAAGTCCGCCCCTAAGAATAATCTTTTTTTTTTTATATCTCAAAACCCTGTTGTACGAGAATCACTAAATTTGGTACACAGGCATTTTATGACATGTGGAATCTGATGGTGCTATGTTTTTTGGCGGGGAACCCCCTTAAGACAATTTTTCGTGGGCCCCCTTGTCTTTGGAGTTAAAACAATTTGGTCGCATATTTAAATTTCTTAAAAATTATCAGTCCACTAGAAAGCCATTAAATTTAGAAACTTTTTGTGTCTTTATACTTTTTTCGTAAAACGCAATGATTTTGAAAAAAATGTCAAAATGTGATCGAATGCATATCGTGATTCGCCATTTTCCTCAAAAACATTGCGTTTTGCGAAACAAATATCAAGAGACAAAATAGTTTCTAAATTCAATGGCTTTCTAGCTAACTAATAATTTAAAAAAAATCAATATGCGACCAAATTTTTCTGGTTCCAAAGACAAGGGGGCCCACGAAAAAGTGTCTTACGGGGGTTTCTCGCCAAAAAGCATAGCACTGTGAGATTCCACATGTCATAAAACCTCTGTGTACTAAATTTAGTGATTCTTGTACAACATGGTTTTGAGATATAAAAAAGACTTCTTAGGGGCAGATTTTAGGGGGCTGTAACTCCGAAAGAGGAGGGCAGTTGGCAAAAAGAAAAAATACGGGTCCCCTAAATTTGTATTAAGAATGTATGACCAAATTTTGGTGCATGAATTTCGGGACACCCTGTAGATGTTATTTGTGAGATAAAAAAGAAACGATTGAACTAGCTTGGATATAACTTTATACGGAATAAAATTTATTGTGATTCCCAAAAACCTTAAAAAGCAATTATATTTCTTACTTTTTTCATTACAATAAGTATGTACTGTGAACTATCAATTATTGGTTGTGCCTAGCATTGAAATGTTGAAATGCGTTTAGTGTAAAAAAAAATTCTGTCCACCGATCAAAAAGAAATCATTCCGTATTTAAAAATTAAATATATATTTATTCGGAAATATGTAATCTAAGGACTGAAATATATGCTACGTAAATATTTTTACAAAACACGTTTGCCCACTGATATTAACAGTAATCTTAAATTCTACATTGGAACGTTGAAACTGTACGAGACAAAACGGGAACCAGTGTGCTAAAGTTTCATAGCTTTTAGTTTTTCAATTTTATAAAAGACAAAATTTGTCGGCTCGTGTCGCTTCAACGTTCCGGTGTAGCTTTCGGCAATAACGATAATTTTCTCACTAGTTATATTTTGCAACTTAATTTATCAATCAAAATGGGTGATAAGGTTTTTAAAAAGTAAGTGTTGTAGGTTTACAAATTTATAAGGAACTCTGTTTATTAATTTTTACTAGTTAGTAATGTTAATACTTTTTATACCATTTGTTGAGATAACCTGATAGACTAATGTTTACTAATACTCCTAATTGTTGTATATTGTATATTTATTTATATATTATTTAATTGTATTAACTTTATGTTGTACAATAAAGACTAAAATTGCAAATTCGTACGTCTTTAATATAAACCGCAAAATTCTTGAATAAAGTTGTATTTATTTATATATTTTTTTAAAAACAAATATTTACATAACTATTTTAATATTTGGTTAGTTAAATATGAGAACGATTAAGGAGTCAAATAATCTACCCCTCCCAGATGGCCCTCATCTCGAGCTTGTTGCTTTGCCAGCCTCTCCCTGTCGTAGCCGTCTATCCCCAGCCCTAACCTCTCTATGGCTTTTTCCCCTAACACTCCGTTCAATTCCTCGTACTGCCTGGAACGTCTTTTACCAACGTCAGGGTCGAATGACCAGTTCTGGGTTTTATGCAAAACGGGATGTCCCGCAACGTTAAACTCTATTAGGTCGCGGATTACTTGCAAAGCTCCTAGGGAGGACGATATTAAGGTAAGAAAAACCAAAAACTGAAAAAATATAAATGTGTCACTGTTAGCAAAATTGTAATTAGTTATTTGCAAAAACAAATTGTACAAAAAGTGATAGAGAAAATTTTTAATTTTATGAAAAGTTTCAACATCCTGTATTAGAATAAATGGTTCAAGGCAATTGGCATCACAAATCAACAGAAAAAGTTTTGTAAATGTACATCTGGATACGCTTAGTTTTTGGGGTACAGTGTGATAAATTAAAAAAAAATACAGGCTGATTCAAAATTCAGTACAAAGAAATTAGCGACATATTTTTGAGGTCAAATCAGACTTTTTTTTTCCTACAAACGTGGGTCCACAAATGCTTAGTTTTCGATATACAGGGTGCTAGTTTTTTATTCCGATTTTTTTAGGAGTAATTTCCAAACAGATTTCAATGTTGGGATAAAACTTGGGTTACGGGAATTTTTTAGGATGCTAAATTTAAATATGTCATTGCTTTTAACGCTGCTTGTTTTTTTTTTCTCTAAGTGTTTTGATAATGACAATACTACCGTTTAGCAGCAGCTAATAATCTAAGGGTTAGTTCTAACCGAAAAGGCAGTTCTTAAAAAAAAGTTAGTTATAAAAGTTAAAAAGGGCAGTTTTTAAATTTAATTACTTGAAGTACTATGAAATTGAAATTTCATGAATACTTGTTAAATGCCGGTCCACTGAATGGTTAATAAAATAAATAAATAACAAATTTATTGAAATAAAACAATGAGTACTTTGAGTACAGTATATGAACATTTAAAATTAATAAACTCAAAAGTATATAACAAAGAATTCCTGCAATCTTACAATAATAAAATTTAAAACTGGTATTTTCATTGGTTTTTCATCTTTTTTTTCTTCATTTTCTCTTTTCTCTTTAGAATCATTTTACTGGGGCTTTTGAATTTTGAGTTTATTGTCCGGCATTTAAAAAGTACTGCATCTTTTTCTTTGTGGATTTTCTCGAAAACGGTTAGTTGTAACAAAAAAATGTAAAGAGTAAAATTCAAGATCATTGCATTACTAATTAGATGGTGAAAATAAATTTTAAAATTTTTCACCGTAAATACCTCATAAAATTTGAAAATATGGTGTGCTTTTGGCTTTTCAACAGCCAATATCTCGGAAATGGTTGGTCTGAGAGATTTCGACTGAGTATATTAGTTATGCTTAAAATTGTTAGGGGAATAAATGCACTAATATGACACGTCAATGTACAAGGTAGCAAAAATGTTAGGGCCAATTTAAATCAAGCTTTATAAGTGGCGCCCTCTACAAGCAGCGTCAAAAGCAATGACATACTTAAATTTAGCATCCTAAAAAACCGTACTTACCCCATGTTTTATGCCAACATTCAAATCTGTTTGGAAATTATTCCACCCTGTGTATCGAGAACTAAGTATTTGTGGACCCTCGTTTATAGGGAAAAAAAAACAGGGTGTTAAACTTAAAAATATTTTTAATTTTTTTAAATAATTTAAAAACTAGTAAGTGAAATAATTTGGAATTGGGCACATGCATTTATGTAAACATTGTTCAAAATCTGAGGTCTTTTTTTAAAATGTAGATGCTGCAGTGGCGGATGTACAGGGTATAGGTGGAATATTTTTTTAAATAAAACAGTACGCCACTGCTTTACGGTTACAATCATGATATTTTCGGATTCGTCTTTCAATTTTATACAAATTACTACTCTTATGTTTTTCGAAAAAAGACTGATTTTTGAGTAAAACTTAAAAAACGAACTGAAAACAATTGACATGACACAACACTAAATCATTCGGTTATTTAATCGAATAAAGAAATTAATAACATTTTAATGATTTTATTTGAGTAAATGCTCAAAAATACCTCCATTTCCACGAACACAGGCGCTACATCTTTTTAGTAACGAAAATATAATTTGTTCTAAATTTATTGTTGCTTGAATCTGATGAAAAGCATTATTTATTCTTTCTTCTAACTGCTATCAGGAGTATTAATTTGTTCACTGTATACCAGCCATTTAACAGCACCCCGCAAAAAGAAATCCAGTGGGTTGAGGTTCAGTGTTTTCAGTTCGTTTTTTTTTTTACTCAAAAGTTAATCTTTTTTCGAAAAACCTAAGAGAGTAGTAATTTGTAGAAAAATGAAAGATGAATCCGAAAATTTCATGATTGTTACCGTAAAACAGTGGCGTACTATTTTATTTAGAAAAATTTGCCATCGATACCCTGTATCTCCGCAACTGAAGCATCTAAAGTTTAGAAAAAGGCCTCAGATTTTGGACAATGTTACATAAATACATGTGCCTAATTTCAAGTTATTCCACTTACTAGTTTTTAAATTATTTAAAAAAATTAAAAATATATTTTTCAGAGTAACACCCTGTATCTTTTTAACGAAGCGTCCTAGACAAAAACTTTATACCAAAGACTCCCCTTAAAATTTACCATAGAATACGAGGTCCTTTTTTGGTTACCGTTTGTGAATCACCCTGTATTGATTTGTGATGTAGAATCCGTTATTAAAACTTGAACTAGTATTTTAGATACATCCTGTACTATCATTAAACTTGGATGAAGAAAACGTTATTTAATTTTTAACACGTTTTACACCTATACCAATTTAAACAATATAAATAAACAGTGTTTAAATTAGTGATAGTTTTATTTCCGTACTTACCTGCTTGGATTGGTATCGGTACAAATGATTTCTTACCTGGACACAACTGAAGTTCATAATGCACCAATTAAATTTTTTATTAGCAAGTACACTCGATGAAAATGATGAGGAATCGCACGCGAGACCAAAATAATAAGTCGTTACACACCTTTTAAACTCGTAACATTACATTACCAAGAGAAAGTGCATCACTTATGACCGTGGACTATTAGTCAAGAAGTGGAAGAATTAAGTAATGGGTTATTTATTGCTAATAGCATTCATTAATGGCTATAATTCCGAGTTTTCCAGCACGCGTCAATTAGAAAATGATACGGCGTAGGTAGCAATTAGCACCTGGCTTTCTATAGCTTTTGAATTTGGTTAATGAAATATTTAGTGAATTTGATTCGATTTCTTGGATCATTCATTACTTAGTGAAGGTTGCTATCAGGGTCAGATTTTTATGAAATAAAACAATAATAAACCAAAACCTCTAGGAAGCCAAGAAAAAAAAATCATGAATAACCTACAACAACCGCAACATATTAATGAATAATTTAGGTTCTAGAAGATGTAAAAGAAAGAGTATTTTATTTATTTTCTGTTTAACAGTAGCCAGTCGGGTTCCTAGAACATGAAATTTCCATTTCCTTAAATAAATCCCTTCACTTTTTACGGTCTTTACGCCACTGTGTTCCGACCCTCGTTTGCTCAGCTAAAATGTAAATATAATAAATGAATTGTCAACTTTGGTCGTTTAATAAAAAGACGTAGAGGATTTTCTATGCTCAATGAAATTAATTTGTCATGTCACCGTTGTTATTTTATCACCTTTTAATTGTGAAATTCCTTACGGTGATATTAACGGGGACAAGTCAAATTAGATGAACGTCCGCCAGGGTGGGGTTTGGACTACGACTTCCACCCGTTACTTTCTCTTTCTTCTGGATACCATTAGCCAAGGTTTCACATTTGACGAACCGTTAATTCTCGAATATCGAGAGGAAAAGTTATACGAAACGGTGCTCAAAATGAAGCAGCTTTTAATCGTGGTAAGTAAAAAATATTGATTTTATTTCTACTTTTACTTTTTTTATTCAATATGTACGTATGAGTACCTGCGTCCTGCGTCATTAATTATTTGCAACTAGAATTGAAACTACTTCAGAGAAATTGAAAGGTCTTTTGATTTGTTGTATTTGTTTTTGCTTTATGTAACCTTTCTAAACATTTTTTTTAAAACCTCAAAATATATTAAAAACTAACTTAAAATACACGTGGAAGATTTACTATTTCAATATATTTTTTAAGGCGATAGAGAATAAAGAAATATATTTTTTTAAATATTAATACTTAAAAATATATGTATATATATATATATATGCCTTCTTGAGCAAATATGAATAAATGAAATGAACCGCGTTTACCGAGATTTGAGGCATACAAAAATTAATTCGATTAATAATAGGTATATACTGGGCCTAATAATAAAATTAGAACTTGTATTTGCTATATAAATACCTGTAATTTTAAATAATTTTTTTGTTAAACAAATTATCTTTTACTTTCAGGCACTTGTACTAGTTTTATTTACATTCTATGTAGAAGCAGCACTTCAGCCAAGGGCTCCAAATTTTCAATATTTTGAAAGGTAAGTACGTTAAAATACATTTTTTACTATCGGCGATTAAATTTTTTCGCGTTGCGCAATCGGTAACTTTTTTATCACTAATGCAAGAACAAATTGTCTCTGGAACAAACCAAAACTACTACAACCAGGGATTCAAATACCATATCCAAAAATAAAATCGGTAAAGCTAACTGCCTTGGACTACTTGAACAAACGGCCGCAAGATAGCGTACGATGTACGATTAATTTGAATAGCCAGTAGAAAGACTGAAACTACCTTACATGACATGTACGTACTTGTATTATTACTATAATTCATCCAAATCAAAATTTTCTATTCCTAAAAATGTCCCAACTAGCACTGAATTATACACCAGCAATTCTACAATAAATCTGGTGGTAGGAAAAAAATGTTACACTATCGGCCAAATTCTCTTATTTCTGATATAGCTAAGATATTTGAGAGTCATGATAGAATATTTAAATTTGTAAAATTATGTACATAATATAATTTCTGATCAACAGTTTGGGTTTGTTAAAAGTTGATCAGCAAAAGATTCATTAAATTTTATAACTAAATTAATTTATGAAGGACTATACAGGGTGTCCGCAAATTTCACCGACAACGTTTGACTGCATATTCACGACGATAAATAAATACGATCTACGAAAAAAAAGTTAAATAAAAACTTGGCTCTAATATAGTACAAATAAATGTGCCAAATTTTAACGCGATCGGCAAAAGGGTTATGAAGTTATTAATTAAATTAGTTTTATTTTTGACAACTTTGAAGGCTTGTAACTCAAAAACCAAAATTTTTTTATTTAACTTTTTTTTCGTAGATCTTATTTATTTATCGTCATGAATATGCAGTCAAACGTTGTCGGTTAAATTTGCAGACACCCTGTATAAGAGTAAACCATTTATTGTGACATTCTTTGATCTTGCCAGATTTGATACCAACTGTCAATCATAGTTCATTGACGCAGAAGTTATATCAATTGGGCATAAGGGGTAATGCATATGAGTTGCTTAAAAATTATAATCGTCTTAGAAAACAAAAAGTTATGATAAAACACAGTAAATGTGACTGGTCATCTCAGGAGAATTTATTTTTGGAAATAATTTGTTACATAAAAAGTATGATTAAATATATTTTGCAACCTAAGGTCATTGTTGGATTTTCTGGACAAAAATTAATTAGCTCAATACCTTTCAAATATAGAGAAAATGCCAGAGCTGGCAATAAAATGCCTTTGGCCTTTTATTTCTTCAAAAATCCGTCATAAGGCAGCATACACTTGAGATAAATCGTCAATAGGATAATACATACAGGGTGAGCACTCAAGAATTTATTGCGCTGAAGATGCCGCCGAAATTTCTTCAAGAGATTAAATTCATTTTCAGCCGAGATGTATACCAGTTCATTAAAATGACATCGTTTATTTCGTATAATATCATAAGAGGTTTTGATTAGTTCGCCTTGAAAATTATTTCCTCAACTTTTGTGTCTTATATCTCGCAATTCGAAGTAGCTTTTCTTATTCAAAGATCAAAATAAATGTTATCAATTTGATCCCTTAAAAAAATTATGGTTAAAAAACCATAATTTTTTGTTAAATTTAACACATTACAATTTTTTTTCTGTTTTGACCAGATCTTTAACTTAACGTAAATTTTTGTATACTCACACGCAACACCCTGTATACATTTCACACGTATCATAGATTATATGAGTACTATAAGTAACTAAATATTATTTCTATTATTTTCAGGCCTAAATACAGATATCCATACTATGATGAAAATGGCGTTGGTCGCCTTCTCTATGGATATGGTGATGACAAACTCTACCAGTACAAACTGTTTTCACCATTAGAAGGAATTCATTAAAAATCCTTTTAATTTGTATTTATTTATTTCTTTTAATACTGTTATTATTACCACTGGGTAATTGACATAGTGGCTAGTCAACTTGTATTTTTTTATGTACCTAAGCGAGGTTTTTATTTTTAAATAAAAAGTTGTATTTTTCCCACAAAATATTTATTATAAATATAATTATACCATACAAATATATTAAAAATAACTTGTAAACACTTAAAAAATATTTAAAAAACCAGGAAAAGCAACAAAACTATTTCCTATAAAAATCACGGGAATAGTTAACTGTCTCATATTATCTCTTTGTACATTAATAGCAAAACATTTATAAAATCTATTATAGAATAAGTTGTACATTTTAACAAATCGTTTTAGGTTTAAAACAATTCGGGCTAGTGAAAAAAGGTTTATTGGATAATTTTCAATTTCAGAATTCAGAATCGATCGTGGATATCTAAGAATGAAAATTATTCAATAATTTTTAATTCTAGATCAGTACAATTCAAAACTGAAAACTACCAATCTAGGCGGAGTATATTTGAAAACAACGAACAAGCCGTGTATCTTTTCGAACAACTTACCGAACAATTGTTGAAAATACAACACAGAAAAATGTGCTAAAAGCTCTTAACGATAGATTTTCATACAAATACATAAATATATTGAACTACCTAAACTTTATTATTTAAAAAAACTACACCTGTCCTGTGTCTTGTTGGAAATTGTACAGGGTGTCCCGAAATTCATACAACAAAATTTGGTCATAGATTCTCAAGACAAATTTAGGGGACCCGTATTTTTTCTGTTTGCCAACTGGCCCCCTTTTTCGGAGTTACAGCCCCCCAAAATCTGCCCCTAAGAAGTCTTTTTATATCTCAAAACCATGTTGTACAAGAATCACTAAATTTGGTACACAGGGGTTTTATGACATGTGGAATCTCACAGTGCTATGATTTTTGGCAAGAAACCCTCTTAAGACACTTTTTCGTGGGCCCCTTTGTCTTTGGACCTAGAAAAATTTGGTCGCAAATTTGATTTTTTTTTAAAATTATTAGTTAGCTAGAAAGCCATTGAATTTAGAAACTTTTTTGTCTCTTGATATTTGTTTCGTAAAACGCAATGTTTTTGAGGAAAATGGTGAATCACGATATGCATTCGATCACATTTTGACATTTTTCTCGAAAACATTGCGTTTTACGAAAAAAGTATAGACAAAAAGTTTCTAAATTTAATGGCTTTCTAGTGGACTGATATAAGAAATTTAAATATGCGACCAAATTTTTTTGGCTCCAAAGACAAGGGGGCCCACGAAAAATTGTCTTAAGGGGGTTCTCCGTCAAAAAAAAATGTAGGACCATCATATTCCACGTCATAAAATCCCAATGTATGGGTCCCTTAAATTTGTCTTAAGAATCTGTGACCAAATTTGTTGCATGAATTTCGGGACACCCTGTATAGCAATAACTAACTATATTAAAAAAAATTCACTGGAAGAAGTTTGGCTATTGATCGACTAATACATTATCAACAGTTTTATCGACTAGTGGCATTGCTGGAAATGTAAAATAAGTCAGTTATTAGAACAGACAGGTACCTATTACATCCTAAACGATATTCCACAAGATTCAAGGCAACTGGTATCAACTCTTTTAAAGCAGTCTTAAAAACATCGAGATAATAGTAAAAAAGTATTTTAAACCTGATAAGCTAAGCCAACACTCACAATTTCACAAGAAATTACAATCCGATTTACCTACTTAACCTACGACATAAACCAATCGCAAGATTGCACGACCCGCTACAGCCGTCGAAATTCTTTTCAATCATGAATTTGCAGTGTCTAGATTGTAACGAAGTTTAAGGAACGTTTTGTATGCACAAAGAATGTTTCTTTAAGAAATTTTAATAATTTCGATACAATGAAGTTTTCTCAACTCTAGACTCAACAAATTACATGTTGCATTCGAATATTCTCTTTATCCAACAGGTTTTAGAAAACCTACAAAAAATTGTGAAAAGGTTCCATTCCTGATTACACAATAATTTATTTTCAGGGTAGTACATACCTTACACCTACCATTAGAAATATATTTATACTCAGTCCGTTCCTCATTTTACGAGTGTCTTTATCTCATATGTATATCTTCACTTACATACGAAATATTTCTAAGAAACAACAATGTGCTGCAATGTTAGCATAAGAACAACCTTACTGCATATTATTTCGGTTTAACACAGTTGTTAAAAAATGAAGTATACCTATTTTTCAGTTCTAAGGATTATTATTTGTTAAATAGCTATTAGGTTTACATCGACGTTTGAATTAGTGTAGTAGTAAAAAAACATCTTAAAATTCGTTATGTATCAATTCGAAGAAATAACATTGCTCTGTTCGATACATTTTAAACAGAACACTGAAAACTGAGTGGAAGTTTATAAAAAAAAAATAAATGATTTTGTCTTTGTGTAGACTAGAAATAAGTATTTCAATGTAGAGTGGCTCCAATTTATAGGTGCATGGTGACTCAGAACAGATGGTTGGCTGCCATTATAGGAAAGTGGAAATAGCAAATAGGAAAGCTTCAAAATTAGTGGTATGGCTTTATAAAAACAAATGATTTATGTCAATGATGAATACAGATTGTCCCAGCGGGAACTGCGTCGATCGATATTTAGGAAAGTACTGCTCCGAAAAATTTTAAAATTTTGCAACATGGCAATGCCCCTAGGGTAAACACAATTAACATATCTAGAACTCTCCAGCACTTCCAGTTATATCAGAAATCGACAACAACTTCCGTTATTTTAAATGGGACACCCTATATATTATTGCATTTTCGTATTCTACGTGAAATTTGAGGGGCACTTTATTAAATATTCCCTATACCTAGGTGTTATAGATTTTGAGATATTAATTTTTAAAGAAAAAATTGGACAAATGCAAGGGTCCGCGGATATGCTAGTAACTCTTTACAGAAGCGTGATGTCAAGTGGATTTTTGGTATAAACAAATTAAAACATTTAATACTAGGTATTTCATTTTTACTGTTATATTTTGATAACTTCAAACAGCTATAACTTTGTTAACTTAAATGGAACACCCTATATTTTTTTACTCTGTCGTATGCAGATTGAAATTTCCTTTGAAACCATATAATCATTGTTAAGGTTGGCGTTACTACTTTTAGAGATATTTGCAATTTTCTATTTTTTGGACAGTTTTTCTCATGTCAGACTTGTTGTCAAATTGGCCATGACCAGAAACACTCCAAAAACAATTGACATAAAATGACATTTGTCAAGTTAGTTGTCAAATTATTGTTGTGTTTGAATAGTTTTTGTCAAAAATTTAAATAAAAATGCCTGGTGATCGTTTAAATTATACTAATGATTATTTTAATTTGTTTGTTATTTATGGAAAATGTGACAAACGATCCCCAGGCATTTTTATTTAATAATAAAACAACAAACAACAATTTGACAACTAACTTGACAAATGTCAAGTTACTTTAATTGTTTTGGAGTGTTTCTGGTCATGGCCAATTTGATACGAGAAAAAGTACCAAAAGTCCTGGGATGTCTCTTTTGCATGGTCTTGTAAAACGTGTTTGTTTTTTATTTCCGGGACGTAAGAAGCAGTTGTTTTGGAAACAATGAGAATTTTCTAAAATTTTAGTCCATACCGTATTTTTTTGTTCTAAAGAAAAATGGTAAAGATAAGGGGACATAATGTCTCTGTACAATCTCCTAGAAAAGGTGGTCTATAACTTGCACCAGTGGCGGCTCGTGACATTGAGAATAGGTGCATATTTATTGACTAAAACGAAAAAAATTTTGCGAGGATTTTCATTTAGATTTTATAAAAAATAGAATAGAAAAAATATGTACTGGATCATACATAGGAAACATTTCTACAATTATTAATACAAATGTTTGTATGACGGTCTCATTTTTTCGAGGGGCAGAACTTTTTATAGAGTGACATTTTTCGATAAAGTCAAAAACAAAAGTTTCTCCTCATGTCAACTCCATGCGTGAGCATACTGTATATACATTATTAATAAACTTTATTGTACTTAAATTCTTAAGTTTTTACTAAAATATTTTATTAAAAAAGTAAAAAAAATAAAAAAAATCTTATTTTTTGCCTTCTTTAAAATTGTTTATTAACGATTTTTTGCATAAAATTTTCTTTTTACATTTTTTAAATAAGCTATTTCGATGAGAAATTCAATTCTCTACAAAATTGTTCCTATGCACTATACCAAAATTTTGCTTCCTTTTCGTGCTATATTTAAAAAACTGTAAAAGTGCTTTTTCACCCCTATCTTCAATTTCAACTCTCTAATTTAATAGCACCCCGCAGTTTTTTCATTTTTAATGACCCTTCGAACATATCGAATAGAAAATTGCAAATGTCTCTAAAAGTAGTAACGGCAACCTTAAAAATGCTTTTATGGCTTAAAAGGAAATTTCAATTTACGACAGAGTAAAGAAATACAGGGTGTTCCATTTAAGTTAACAAAGTTTTAGCTGTTTGAAGTTATTAAAATGTAACAGCAAAAATGAAACACCTAGTATTAAATGTTTTAATTTATTTGTATACCATAATGTAGTGTTACCTATGCCCTTTACAGGTTCTAAAAATAATTGAAAGAGCTGTATCGTTCGTGAACGACCAGTTCAAAAGTCTCACTTTTGAACGAAATGAATCGAATTGAAGAATCGGTTCATAGTCTGTCTCCCCTGAATGTTGGCTATTCGCTCTGAGTCATTCCTGAAGTTTACAAAGGTTTGGATATTTTCAGCACTTTAGGCCGGTTGTCCTTTGGATGTGTTTTCATCCAAATTATTTTCGACAGAAATCGGACTAATAATTTGGTCAGATTTCGCCTATATGGTATCGTCCACTGGACAAGTGTTGTCTTAATGACATATTAGCGAAACGAAAAGAAATTGGAGAACTTCATCATTTATACGATGATCTAAGGAAGGACGAGAAAAAAGTTTTTGATTACTAATGCGTGCATCAGAATACATTTTACTATATTTTACGGGAATGTAATCGATTTATTAGAACTGCGAACAATCCCATTTGTTTCGGATAGAATGAACTAATGAATTTGGACACAGTGTACTACCTTCAAAAGATTTAACTGAAACGTGATAACTCGCACTTCTTCGTCCGATTTTTGACGAATCCAATTCGGACGAAAACGCATCCTTAAAATAGCATTATCGCAATAGAACATTAACTGAATATGTTTGCAGTTATTATCATAGTTTTTTAATTACCAATTACTATGATTTTTTAACACCCACTTAAAAAAAATTTTGCTGTCATGATGCACCAATACTGAATCGAGTATCAAAAAGAGACGACGTCATGATCTCAATTACAAAGATCCAAAAACAAAACGACACGATTTGTCATTCATTTGTACAGAATTTCAGTTGAAGCTCAATATGACGAACCAATTCAGTGAACTGGTTCAGAAAGAAGATCCCGATTCAATGGATCAAGTCATAGAAATCAACCGTTTGGATATAACCAGTAACAGCCTTGATCGAATTAGTGTTTTTTCCTACACATATCATTTCATATCTTCATATCAATTTTAACGGCATCATAGTTCTAAGGCGGTAAACTTACCAAAATAAAATTTTAAGTCTATTGTAGCGCCATAGAGATCCCCGCTTGCGGTTTTCTATTTGTTCTTTAATTTTCCTGTAATGACGACCAATCACGAGTTCTGTATAAATTTGTACAGAAACGGAGATTTCGTGAAAAAACTGTTTTTGGAGGTAAACTTTAAAGGTACTTGAACCTTTTAAACTGTTTGTCGACAGAAAAGAAAATATGTCATGTATTTTTTTTCTCCTATACAACATAGCGAAGTTTCATTGAAATCATTGACTGACTCTTCTTCCTTAGTGGCCTATGCACCTATAAATCAGGACACCCTGTACGTACGAAAATCAAAAAACGGAAACGAAAAGGAAAAATAACAAATAAAACGCCGAAAGAAAACATAAAATAACTTTTAATGATGAATATAAATTAATAGAAATAAAACAGCGTGTAAAATAAGATAATAAACCCTGACCTTACACCTAGAACATAATAGGCTTATTACTTGTTTGGTTTTTGACGTAAGCAGTGAACCGCTTGAGAAACTTGGGGTATTCCCTTTTGTAGACAGCCCTTAATACTGATGCCGGGGCCCAACCTCCAGGGTTAACTAACAAAAAGAAATAAAAGATTACCCGCAATGAATCTTAGTTAGTTTTTTAAGGAGCAATTCTCATTCGTACCGCCAAATTTGAATAGGGTTCTAAAATTTTAGCAAACAAGGTATTATCAGAAAATACAGAAAATCATTCTGGTATGCCGATTAATTTAATGTTAGAATGTTCTCTTATTCAATAATACCAAGAATCGCGACCAAAACTAAGACGTTTGAACTACTCCTTCAGATTTTTAACACCCCGCTAAAATTATTTTGCCATTAATGGTCATCACAAATAAATTTTTACACGCAGAATAAAAATTCATAATTAATATTTAACTAAATTAATGTTTTTAACATGTCTTGCATTGATAAATATACATCTTTGTTACGAATCCTTTCACAGAAAATTATATATGACCCCCTAATTATCAGAAAATACACAAAATCATTCCAGTAGAATGTTAGAAATACAGAAATTTTGATGTTCTCTTAATTAATATTACCAAAAATCTGCAACTAAAACAAAGACATTTGAACTACTCCATCAGATTTTTAACTCTGCTAAAAATTATTTTGGCGTTAATGGTCTTCATTAATAAATTAATGTTTTTAACTTGTCTTACGTTGATAAATATACAACACCTTTGTTATCAATCCGTTTCACAGAAAATTATATATGACCCATAATTATCACAAAATACACAAAATCACTCTAGTATAAAGTTAGAAATACAGAAATTTTGATGTTCTCTTGTTTAATATTACCAAAAAGCTGCGACTAAAACCAAGACGTTTGAACTACTCCATCAGATTTTTAACACCATGTTGTTAAAAGTCGTCTTTTGACGGAGAATAGAAATTCATAATTAAAATTTTAACGTACATTTAAAATTCAATGGCGAGATTAAGAATTGCCCCTTAAAGTGAGTTAAAATAGAGGATTACTTACTAACTGAACAGTAGGTTATTTTACAGGATACATTATCTCTACCCAACGGGGTACCATCTTTGGGAGGATTCACTCTCGTCTGACACAGTAAACATACCGTTAAAAATATTCTCACACATTTGCCAGCGTTCGCCTTAAAAACAAAATAAAAAATTTAAATTTATCGACAAATGAAGTGAAGGGTTTCGGTATTATTTACAAGAAATGATCACTTACAGGATAATCTGGGTGTTCTGTGGAATTGTTAACAACAGTCCAGATATCGGGTCCGTCTCTGTCCTGATCGTTTGGTAATTTCTGCATATGCGACCAGAATATTACATCCCTCTGACTGGCGGGCCATATCCTTTTATGTGTTTGATAAAATACTATAGTGTCGTCTGATATCGTTTCTAGTACCGTCATCTGTTCCAGGGTAGCTACAAATAACAACATAAGATAAGTCGATGTGCTGACAGTGATTTTATTTTAGTAGTAAAAAAAATAAGAGGAGGCATCTTTATAGAAAATGTAGAATTTTTACAAATATTCAAAAAATAATTTATAATAATTATTCTATTTATGAAAAATTTCTGAATATATGATTACAGTCACACCTTAATTTTGTATTTTACTGGGTATTTTACTATTATTTTTGGTTCAAGTATCCGCAACAATGTGGAAGTTCTGGCGCCTACATAAGACATATTTTTCTAAACCAATGTCATATTTAATTTACTTACTTTCCCAGTCATATCTGTACTGTGGACTGAAGAAATAGTGGCACACTTCGTGACCCGTAATACCCTTCACGACGTGCACTGCTTTGAGTGGATCGACCACCATCCCATCGACTTCCTCCTCTCTCCTGTACATCTTCATTTCGCCGTCCTCGGCGAACAATTGCCATCCCGAACCGTACTCGCCAATCCCCATCCTGGCCATGGCAACTTGCTGTTTGACAGTCTTTTCGATCTGAAAAATAAACGAAACCGATAGTCACCTAGTTTTATAGACGCATCAGAGTAATATACCCAGAATTTAAAATATTCATCGTTTCATAGAATGCTTTCCTAAAGGTTTGCAGTTCTAGTCGTTTTAAAATGTTACAGTGTAATCAATAATTTTTAAGTCAGCCATAACTATAACACAAACTTTCTTAATATAAATAAACGTTGTGGTAATCTTAATATACTTAAGCAGATTGGTGGGTCTATTTAAAATCTGTAGTGAAAAAATGTACAAACAAAATTTGAGATCAGTTGAGGTATTATCGTGTTAGTAGCAAGACTATTGTAAGAAAGAATAAAATCGTGTTTTAAAAAATTACATGTGTATCAAACTTTACTGTTGCCAAATATACATTGAATGGCAAAAATGTGAAATAAATTCATTCCCAAATATAAAAATATTTTATGAAGACTCGGATGTTTTATTTACTTCAGCTCATGTCAACACCATCGTTTAAATTATGACATTAATTTTTTTTATGTTACATAAGAAAATTTTTAATAACATTTGCAACAAAGTTATAAATTTCATAAACATTGTAATACATTGTTTTATCTGTTTTGCTTTGTTTAAATAAATTGCTCAAAATGACCACCATCTGCATCTTAATATCTCAGTATACTTATACTCAAATTCCTGTAACGTTTCTAAAGAAATATCTCTGAGAGTCCGTCTATTGTCTCTTTTAATTGATTTAAGTTAACAGATTTTTCGTTATAGATTTGACTTAACATTTCCAAAATGACCAGAGGGACGGGTGCAGGAATATATGGACTCAGATGGAGTGCAAGCTACAGTCTGGGGGAGTTCCCTACTGTATTCCAAGCAGAAATCTTCGCGATAATGGCGTGTCTGGCAGAGAATGTACGTAGAGGTTATAGACGTAAACTCATATATATATATATTCTCTGATAGTCAAGCTGCAATTAAAGCTTTAGCCGCACACAAGGTAAGTTCAAAACTGGTGTGGGACTGTTTACAAATGCTGACTGAACTGGCCACCAACAATACAGTCAGACTGTGTTGGGTGCCAGGGCACAAAGGCATTTGTGGAAATGAGAAAGCGGATGAACTNTAAATTATGACATTAATTTTTTTTATGTTACATAAGAAAATTTTTAATAACATTTGCAACAAAGTTATAAATTTCATAAACATTGTAATACATTGTTTTATCTGTTTTGCTTTGTTTAAATTAATTGCTCAAAATGACCACCATCTGCATCTTAATATCTCAGTATACTTATACTCAAATTCCTGTAACGTTTCTAGAGAAATATCTCTGAGAGTCCGTCTATTGTATCTTTTAATTGATTTAAGTTAACAGGTTTTTCATTACAGATTTGACTTAACATTTCCCCACACAAAAAAATTGAATGTCATCAAATCGCAGGAACGAGTGGGCCATTCTATAGCACCACTTCGACCTATCTACCGATTAAGGAAAATCATTATTTAAATATTGTCAGATTGATACCCAATCCTGGTGACATTGCTAGAATCATTAAGACTATCAGTATTTGAAAAAGAAGCAGGCTAAATCAAGAATTAACTCATTCTGTCAATTTAAAAAAGGAAATTTGGGAGACAAATTGTTTTGAAAAAATCGATGTTTAAAAAAAAAATAACGTAATCAGGAAATATCTACTTTTCTACTTTGTGACAGACCTGGAGGAGATAATAAAAGGACCAAATCAGGAAATGTGGAAAATGTTTTTGAAAAAATCACGATTTTTCCAGAAAACCGGGAGAAATGACATGATCTGCTGCAAACCGACATGTCAAATTCACAAAATTTATTTTCATTGTGATTTTTACACTTACGTAAAATAGTCCGAATTTCTATTAAAAAAAAATTGATGACAACACACAATGGTGCTGTCACGAGCGGAAGAAGTAAATAGAAAGATATGTAATAATTGTAATAAAAATCAACCTGTCCGAGCATTTTCGTAAAATATTCTTATATTGCGACAAAATCACTTTGTTCCACAGTGACAATAATAATGGTATTTTTTAATACAATGTCATAATATTTGCCTCCATCGCAAATTTCTCTAATGTGATATTTGTAAACAATTTATTGAAAATTATAAAATATGTACTTCTGAGTAGAAGCAAACCCAAATATTTCTAAAATCCCAAACAAAGCAGGTAAACCTTTAACTTAGAATAACTGTCCCAGTAAGGGCATTGACCCTAAATATTTAGACAACTTTTAGGTAATCCCCATAAAATATGAAAGAATATATTAGATATAATCACCAGCATTACATTTCTGAGGCGTTTGTATATTTAATGAGCTTTTATTGCTCTATTTCATTTCAAAACAAAGTATAAATACAAATTGAATGTATCATCATAGTTTAATTGCTAAAGGGGCTTATATTTAATTAAGTTATATGTATTTAACATGCAGATATCAGTCCCTTGTTTTTATATGGAGTAAACAAACCATGACTCAGTTGGAAGCGACTGCAGATAAAATTCCAACAGCTTCCCTTTGTTTGTTTTTAAACCCATTCATATATTTGCAATACGCACAAGCAGAAGCCTGGACGAGATAAATGTATAATATTATGATTTTAAAGATTTCATCAAAAAAATATTTAAATACGCACAATTTTTGCCCTGGATATTGTTTTTCTTTAGTTATGGACTGTTCAGAATTATGAAATACACTAACCTTGACTTAATTTCAATTCAATAACTTATAAAAAATTCTAGTCACAACTGAATATTAAATTTAAATCTAATTCACACAGGAAATGACATAAGAATTTATTAAACGCATTGCGAATCAAAATTATGAAATATTTATTAATATACATGTAATGTTATATAACGTGATTTAACGGTGACTGAATTTTAAAAATTTACTTTCTACTCTAAAAAATATTTTCCTAACTTGGGCCCCACAAAACATCTTCAAAAGGTCCTCAAAACTACACTGAGAAAAGAATATACTTAAAAAGTGTAAGGAAATAAATCATCACATCTAAAATTGAACATGGTGAAAAAATTTCATATGATATTTGCAACATAAAAAATTGAGATTTAAAACTTTCGAATGTTTTCCTTTTAATTTAAAAATCTAGGAGGCTGCGGAAATAAATTATATTAAGCGTTTGTCTGCATGAAAAAAAATAATAAATTCTGTATTAGAAAAAAAAAAGAAGAAACCCCAGTTACATGCAATCTACTAACCTCTGGCCAAAGACGATGCTGGAAGGCTGGCGAAGTGGGAGGGGGTGTCACTGGAATGGCCTGTCCGCTCTTTAACCTGTCCCTCAACTCCTGTTCCTCCTCCATTTTGTCTAATCCCGATTCGACTGCATCATAGAATTCGTCGTCTGCGAGGACACTGTGTGGTCCCTCCTTTAGACAAAAAAATATTTTAGGTTACTTATCATAATAAGTAATTTAACAATACTACTTCAAAACTGTGTTAAAATATAATAAATAGCACGAACACGAAAGAAAAATAATTGTTTTACATTCATAATTCTGTTGCTTTCAAGATAATTTTTATTATCCCAAATTGTGGAACGTAAGTTTATTTTATTGTCCAGAACACCAAGTTATGAACGAAATGTCGTTTGGGGTTAAAGGGTCATTTATTAAGTCAAACAGATAACTTCACTGAATAAATGTGCATATTAAACAGGCTGATTTTTAAATTAAAAGTATGTAGAAGTTAGAGTTCATGTGATAGGCAGTTATCTATAACAAAAAATTTTTTATACAGATATTTGAATGTTATCATTATCAAAATCAGCATAGCATAGTGAAGTAATATGTAACAGATTAATAGTGAGTATGCACTTAATTATGATTTTTGCACAGTTTCAAAGATATTGGTATCAAAACAATCAAGGAACAGTAATATGAGAGAAGGGGAAAAAATCTAAATAATTGTCAATCTCCAATTTATGAATGAAATGAATATGTTAGTCTCCAATTTTAATTCCTGGGAATTATTTTAGATTAGAAAAAAATGTGGAAGTGGATTATTATTTGTCTAATTTTACTTTTATAAAATACTGGGTGTGGTTGTGTATAATCTATAAAAACTAAACTACGATATGTCGATATGGTGTTAGTGTATGGTGCAGCCAGGAAAATGCGCTCGTGGCGACTGGGTTGTACCAGGAACGATGGCCACACCGTCACCACTCAAGTGCAAATACAATCCTACAGTGCGTTCAGTGGCTGCGAGATATGGGAAGTGTTATTCCTTGAGGAGAAGGACATGGTCAACAAGTGAACCTTAATGTTGAAGATGCAGTGTTGGAAAATCTTGACACAAACCCCACAATTAGTACTCGGCGACTCGCACAAGTAGGAACCTCATCTCGTACCGTACATCGCATCTTAAGGCGCCAGCTGTTACACCCCTATCATCTGTATCCAGTTCAACAGATTTTACCCCCAGATTGTGATCAACAAATGTGTTTTTGCAGACTGTTTTTATGGCAATGTGCCAATCAAGTAGACTTTCCTGCTTATGTTTGTGTAACAGATGAGGCGACATTTACCCTGATGAAGTGGATTGAAGGATGTGGCATTACAAGTTCGGGCACGCATGTTTTATCTTCAAGATGGGGCTCTCCATACAGTACTCGAGAAGCAAGGACACTTTTGAATAAAATGTTTCCTCAGCGAGGGATTGAACGCTTTAGTCCTGTGCCATGGCCACCTCGGTCACCCGATCTAACTCCAATGGGCTTTTATATTTGGAGTCACTTGAAGTCATTGGTTTACAATACTCCAATTGCTACGGTGGAAGAATTGCGAAACCGTATACTTGAAGCTGCTGACACAATTAGGGGAATACCTGGAATTTGGGAAAATATTCGCCAAAATTGGGTGCATCAGTACCCTGCCTCAATCCGCGCTAAGAGGTATCAATTTTAACATTTTCTCTAGAAATGGAAAGTTTTATATCATTTTGTTTCATATTTTAATGGAGATTGTTTAGTGCATGCAGTTGGCAACTACAGATGCTTACGGATGTGGTTTTGTTTGCGAACTCTTGCAGTAACAACAATGCATTTAAAATAGTAATTACTATTAATTATTATAAAAAGAAAATATCAGTTTTTTGTATATCTATTTTTCTTAGTTTGTACTTTTGCATTGAAAAACTCCCCAAAAATTGAGAAGTATCTATCTTTCAATGACGATTTGTTTACATGGCTGGTGTACAGCACGTAACTCATCGTACTGCACACGGACAGGACCGGAAAAAATATTTTAATCCATAATTGAACTTTAATTTACGCAAAAAAACGCAAAAATAGAACTTTTTCGTATAAGACTTTTCTATTACAAATATCGTTACAAAGCTGTTGTTTAATTTTTAGATTATACACGCCACACCCTGTATATCGTAATTGGAACATGTTTAGACAAGAATAAAGAATTACTTTAGCTTACACTACAAAATCCAATGCATTTTATCAATCCCCAGATTTTAACAATGTAAATTATAACTAGATATATTTAACACACTTTTTCCACATGATTTTTTATGAGTACCTATACATTTTTTAAAGTACAGAAAAAAGAAAGGAAAAACAAATTCCTACAGGTCTTGATAGATAAATATTTGTTTATCAATGCCAAAAATAAAAATTCATAACAGAATAAATTCAATAATTATAAACAAATTTATATGTAATTCAATATTTTTATATAAATAAATGATTAAATGCAGTATAAAAAATTAATGTAAGGTGACTATTCTTAATTAGAACGAAATTTAAAATTGTAGCACTAATTTTAATGCCTAATGTTCTTAAAAATTGATTTTTTTTTAAGCAAACTGCGTAACAACTTTTGTAAACATAAACTTTTATCAATTATTATTGAACTTACAATTTTGTATCTCCTAAACTTCATCTTAACTCTTGTACGGCACTAAAGAAATTATGAATATTCAACGGACAAAGTGGGTTCACAAATGAATTGTTATCAAGCCTACACACTTCATTACCACCACGCCAGTCTAACACTGACTGACTAATGCTTATTATTCACTGCCAGTGCCACTGGGTATAGAATGTGGTCATCAGTTTGCAATAAATCAACCCTGATATGGTATTCTGGAGGCTTGCTATAATTTGTGTAATTAGTTGGTAAAATAGGGGCACACAGGCAAGTGAGGTAATATTGAAAAAATAGTACGGGAAATTGTGGTACACTGAATTATAATCATTAGTACCAATTAGGATGATTATAGGGCCGGTATTAGTTTATGAATATTTTAATAAGATGATTTGGCATCATGTGTTTCTATTGATTCTCATTAATGATTAAAAAGGAAAATGGGTGAAGGTTACTACTGTTTTTGTGAATTAGTAATGACTGAATTGAATTTGCATTTGACAAGGTACTTGGCCATCAGTTTTGAAAGTTTGTGTACGTTCTAGACCAGAAAATGTTGTGTAGTACGTGAAATGTAAATAGGACATACCTTAAATAACTTATAGTGCATGTTTATTATGATTTAGTAATGTTTTCTATTTTCTTGGTGCCAAGAGAAGCTCAAAATTATTTCTGCAAAGTTGACAGGGACAAAAATTGAAAGAAGTTGTAATTGTTTCATCTACAGGTAAACAGATTGACTAAAATTAATTTGATTTTGAATATATTTAAGAGTATACAAAGCACAATAAAAATGAAATTCAAATATCTTTTATTAAATATAAATATTATATAGGGTGTCTCTCAAATATATTTACAAAATTCTACCACGTCTGTTGTTTGAATCAAAATAAATTAGTTTGAGAGCTAGATGGTCCTGAAACATCAATTTCTAAATTGTTTTTTTATAAATTTTAAACGTCTTCTAAAATTTGGTATGTTGACATAGCTTTATGGGATTGAAAGGCCCATAGCGGAACTATAATAAACATTAATCCATATGTGTAGAACAGCAGTACCGTCATTATTGAATATTTCAAATTTCTATGTCAAAAAAAAGGTTGTAAATGATTACAAGCCACGTGACCAGTAATTTTGTTTGGAACAATTTTGCTACTTGAAAAAGTTATGGACCATGGACCTTCAATAATTTTTAACTAACATTTTAAAGAAACCAAATTGTATAATACAACTTGATCTAAATCGTTTTTTTTTTCATTCCAGGAGGTTACCCTTAAATTGTAACATTCTTTTCTGGACACACTGTATACTATGAAGTAGAAACTGGTTGGCTTTGGGTCAAAAATGGCGCGATTTCAACAAGAGTAGCTTTTCTAATGCAAAATAAAATTTCTCAATAGAATATATGACACAAAAAAACAATAGTTAAAAATAACGCTGACACATTTAGCACCCTTGAAAACTTATCTGTACTAAATTTTAATGCATTATATATTATTTTTTGGAAAAGATGACTAAATTTTGATTTTAAAAAAAATCATACTTGACATCTTGTACCTCACAATAGAAGACACTACAGGAAAAATCGTCTAACTTTTATTGTTCTATCAACCCCTGAATTTACGATATCTTTTTCCAAAACACCCTGCATACAAATAAGAATATGCATATTTGAAAACTATAATGTATTCAAAATAAAAAATATCATATATGTATAGCTACAATTTTTTAGGTGCCAATTTTTGAAAAATATAAAAAGAATTTTTTCTGTATAATGATCTCTTGATCATTATACAAAAATATTTGATTTGCGCGTAACTTGTTATCTTTAAAGACATTGACAAAGTAAAAATTTTTTACAAAGAAAAGCAAAAAAAATAAAAAAACAAAACTTAATCGAGAGACCTAATATTTTTACATATTATGATACTCTCAGGATTATAAAGATATAAAGTTTGATAAATCTATCACTAATAGTAGAGAAGGTATTATTGCCATAAGAAAGTGCATCAAATAGCTTTTCTAATAAGAAATGCGCAAGGTTTTGCTTTAATTAACACACAAGATTTTGTTTGATGAATTTTTATGACCACATCTTGAATATACTGCTGTCATTTGAGACTCAACTCATTTAGTAGATTGTGATAACACGGAAAAAATCCTAAGAACTTTTTTTAATATCTACACGATCATTAAACTATTCTGAATAAATTTACTAGTATGACTAGTATGACCCTGCAGGCACGTAGAACAATGCACTGAATTATTTTCCCACACAACATTGTAAATTTATTTTTTGATTGTCCAGCGTTATTAGAACAGATAAAATTTAATATTCCAAGAACTGGCATACCCCGATTAGAATGATCTTATCCATTTTATGGAATATATGTGAATTGATCTCAAATTCAAAATGACCTAAATATATTTTGTTGTAGTCTTAACAATATTAAACAAAAGTTTAACACTGGGGAAAGGCTAGTTAAATAAAGATAGAATAAAGTGCATTCCTGTTCAAATCTGGATGGAAATACAAAAAAATGTATTTAGGTAGACTGTAAGAGCTTTAGTAAGGCATATTAAAAAAAAATATTTTTATAAATGTCTGAGGTGAGTACAAATTTTTTAATGTGGGAATTTATGATCGAAAACTCTGATAGGGAATTATACAAAGAGTAATAATTGTTAAGTGAAAACCTTGGATAATAGAATGTTAATCATGTTTCATTTAAAAATAATTGTTTGTTTAACAATGATAGAGATAAGTTTTATTTCCAGACAAAAAATGAAGGTAAAGGCATTTCACCGACCACATGACTTGTCTTACAAAATTATCAAAGCAAATATTAAATTTGGTTGCTAAATATGAATAATATTTCATTTTTGGCAGCGATGCCGGGATTTTGGTGCTGATCAATATTATGCACAGTTTTTATATCTCATAAATTACATTAAATTATATTTAAATTACTACAAAATTGTATTTAGATATTTAGATTAAAACCTATTTATATTTTTTTGTATAAAAAATTACTACGAATTTACAGTATTCTTTAAGGAAAAATAAAATATGTTTACATATCTACAGAGTAAGGTAAATCATCGGAGATAAAATTTAGCAATTGAAAATATTGTAACAAATATACTTTTCCAGAAGAATTATTTTACGGCAAATTGAAATTTTGTAGTAGTCCATCTTATAAACACGGAAAATAATTTCGTAGAAACAGACTGTTTTTGATTTGATTTTGCATCATGTTTAATGTCAACAAATTTTTTTGATGCGCTGAACATTAGAAAAGTTATCGAGTGTTTTAAAAAGATTTACATTTTTTGTATGATATTAATTGTAAATAAACTAATTTATGTTTTAAAACGATTATTTTTTGGTTTTATAAAATATATATACAGGGTGGGCCATTAGTGTGTGAAAGTAAAATAACTCCCTTGTTACTCACAATATAGAAAAAAAGTTTATATAAAAGTTGTACATAATCAAGAAACCTAAACTACAAAACTAATTTGAAACATTCAGGGCGATGATTACATTTTCTAATTGGGACACCCTGTATATTTTTTAAGAAATGGATTTCTGAGAAAATTCTATATATGGCAGTATAAAGAGTTTATCATTTTAGTGCGGGGTTGCTAAGTTATGTAGAAAATTCTTCGAATTTTGGAAAAATCATAACCTCGAATAAGTTGTATTAACTTTCAGCTACTAACACTTGGAACAAAATAATTAGACAGAGTTATAGGCAAATTTTCGACAAAGGCTCCTATATTAACTAATATCGATATTTTATACAGGGCATTTTTTATAATATGATCATTTTTAGAAAGTTTAAACTTGATTTTGTAAAATTTTTCAAATGGAACACCCTGTATTTTATTGTTCTATTTTATTGACATATCGGTCCACTTCAACTTTTATTGAGCATGTTCTATATCTAAAATTGTTAGTTTTTAAGATACAGCAATATTTCGGAAAAAACTTAATTTTTATTATTTTACAGAATACCACAAATAAATATTAAATAATAAAATTAATTCAAAATGGAATGATAAATTATGAACTGACAAGTTGACACAATGTGAAAGCCATTTCGTGCGACCGAAAATAATAATAATCACAAAAATTTTTTTAGTTAGCATTAATTTTTATAACAATTTCTAAGACTAGAATAGACTATTGATATGGAAAAAATATCAGTTTTTGATAGTTTAAATTTTTTATTGTTGTCCTAGGGACATGCAATAATGTGATTTTTAATAATTTTAATCTAGGTAAGGTTAAATTAGCCCCTTTCTACCGTAAACAACTCTGCTAAATTTCAATTTCACCTAGTTTAGGTGAACTACATATCAATCCACCTGATGAGATATGACAACAATGTGGTAGGCGGGCAGAAATGGGCAATGTTAGTTCGGCAAAACAAGAATGGCCGAATAAGACACCTCTTCATTATATAGCATAAAAATTACAAAAAGAAAAGTAAAAATATGTCTTCATGGTGAAAGAGAAAACAAATTTACGATTGTTTATGAAAATCAAAGGTATGGTACTGTCCATATAAATTAGACCCATTCAAAGTTACACCCTGTGTATATCATTGCAGTAAACGAAAAGATCACCAACCTCTAAATCTGGTCCCGGATGAACAGTTCTCGTCTTCTGAATCTGTTCGAAATAAGACTTGGACAAAGCCTCACAACGTTTGCGTCTCTCCAGTTCCCTATCCAGACGTTTACGCCAAGACTCCTCTCTTTGCGCCACCAGTTCGGCGCAATGCTCCAAAGTGTCTATCACAGCAGCAGTCGTGGTTTTAAAAGTGATAGCTTCGCCTTTAAAGTCAATGGTTGGCAAATTGTCTGAAAAAAAAAGGAACAAAGAATAATTCGTGCTTTTATTTAGTGCTTCGTTTCACCTACCTTTATCTGGCAAATGGTTCTGTGCATCATTTTCAACGCAGTAATCGAAATACTTCTGCAATGTGTCGATTTGTCTGCACAAGATATCCTTGAACGTTTCCAATTCTGCGAGTTTCTCGCGCAAATTTCTGGAGGACCGTTTGAAGCTACTACCTGAGGCTGTGCTGAACGAGCTGGACTGGAGACTGACCGTCGAGCCATGCCTTTTTAGACTGTTCTCCGAACCAGTACCATAGCCTGATTCTACCTGAAGGCATAGATATATTCTATCACTACAGTGTTTCGGAAAATGTTTCTTAATCATAACAAAATTCATAATATATAAACAAACATCTCTTTCTACACGTATTTTCATCAAATCTGTTGTGAATTTTATTATTTTAGGAAGTACGTGCCTTCTTAAATAATGTCAAACGTATAGATGACCGAAACACAAAAAACAAGCACATGATTAGCTGTACTACAGAATATTTGAACTAAATTATGTAAAACGTTGCGCAAAACTTGCTGAAAGGTGTTAACGTCCAGATTTCAATAACTATATTTTATCGGTATATATAAAGGATGTTTACATAAAAAATGTTTATTGTATGGATCTATATTAATGTGGAAAACATGACGTAAATGAGAATACCTTAGCCTTAGAACAATTATATAATTTTTTTATGATTCTATTTGCAAAATTCAATAATAACCGAAATGTTCGATTTTGACTTATACACAGAGCATCTAAAAGAGCATATGGCATGTTAAAAAATTATCAATTAAATTTCATAGTAGGTCACTAAAAGCCTACATACGTTTCTGATCAACTGCAAACTAATTATTTTTTATTTGGATACCACCTTTAAAATTTCTTTAACCCTTTAATTTTGTTTTGGTACTTAACTTGTAAAATAAATATTAAGTCTCAGTAACTTGTTTGACTTTTCAAGTAAAAATGTTAAAAATTTTAAACAAACAGTTGTTCCTTTTTATTATTATTGTTATATAAGCTGTGATTAACTGCACAAACATTAACATATGACTCACTTAAAAATGGAAAACTTTTTTTAACCATAAACCGCTAAATGCCCTCTTACAACTGTTAAATTCCTATTAACGAACAAACACAATTTGTAACGACTTTAAACTTTTATTGTTGAAACTTAAAATAGTAAACATTAAATTTATTAAATCATATATATTGCAAATTGCTTTGCTAAAAATGTCAAGGTCTAATAAAATCTATGATAATGAATAATTGTAATATACTCAAGGTTATATTAAATAAATAAAAAAAAGTTATATATGCACTAATCAATATTGTTTATATGCTATAATGAGAAAAGTAGATTTAATTTCAACTTCATTCAGGTTTTTACCCATTTTATCAACGAAATTAATATAATTTTTATAGTTAATTGTTCTTTTTAGTTGAAGATTAAATAGTATGTGTTAAAATCAGTAGTATTGCAAATGAAAAATAAATTCCTATGAAGTTTTTAGTACGTAAATTAATGAAATTTGATAAATTAAAAAATCTAGTTATTGTTTCACATTTATCTGCCGTCAACATAAAAATAAAATATGTTTTCAGTACATTACCTTCCTATAATAAGGTGTACTGGGCGTTTCTGGTTTTATGCATAAGCACTGCATTTTCCTCATTTTCTTAATTCTCTTCATGGTTACAATTTTTTTATAACCTTTATCAAAATCACCAAATTTAAAATTAAGCACCGTTAAAATCGGAATGTTGCACCACCAACGTACACATAATAACTGAATAAAAAACTGTGTATGACTTTTTTGTGTGGAAAATTTTTGTTTACAAATTTTAGTACACAAACAACGGTATATAAACAAATTACATATAGTAAATAACCTTGTATGATTTTGCCACAAGTAGTCACAAACGAACCTTTGCGACCAACTTTCAAATACTATAATCCGCATAAAAATATACCAGAAAGTAAATATTTTTTTAACTCATCACTGTAATATAAATAGCTTTATGGGTAAGTTAGAATATATTTATATAACAGTCAAATTTAAATGATATGGGTTTATGTTTTTCAATGCTAGAAATCAATGCATACAATAAACTAATTCGAAAATTGTAGGTGAACAGGGCAGAGTTAATGATTTAAGAACCTCAGAAAAAAACATGTTCAAACTGTATGAATATGGGACAGGAACATAAGCATTATAAGGGGTCAGTTAAGATTAAACAGGTATGTTGTCTAAAGAGCCAAAGAAAGGATTAAGTGAATTTAATTTTAAAATTAATAAAATATCAATTTGATCCGAGTGTTTTTGGGTTCTTTTCGCTACTCTTTTTAAATTTATATTTATTTATCTTTTAGCTAACGTTTTTTAGAGTAGATACATAATTTAAATTTAAACTATTGATATGAATTCAAATATCAGATGACATGATTGAAGTGACTAAAATAATGTTAATAGGTAACAAAATAACACTAGAATTAATATATAAGTATACATTAATGTAATATGCGGGGTGTGATTATGTTTATAGTACCACACACGATTATCTCTATATTCAATAGGTGTGTAAAGTTCAGGAAACGTAATGACAACCATAAGAGGTAAAAATATGGTCTTTTTTGTTATTTTTGTTATTATGAATGTATTGTCAGCTTGTAAGCTATCTTTTACCCTGGAGAGAGCTTGTATTACTGGTACAGTGAAGAGATATTGTTTCTAACTTGCTTAGATTTTCTAAAATCCTCGTCAAAAGATAGATATAAATTTACTGAAAATTATTTATTACTATTTAATGAAATTCTTGTATTTTTGTTCTGTTTTCCACAGCCTCCTTTTTAATGAAATTAATAAATATTAATAGATCAAAATTATATAAAAAACATTAAATATTGTTCCACTTGATTTGATACATTTTTTAGAAAAATATTTTTTGTATTTATTTGAATCAGCGTAATACCTTCATAATAAAGTATTTTTCTAAAGCTTTATAGCATACGAACATTTTATTAGTTTTCTAACCATTAAACTTTAAGTAACTGGCTTTAGAAGTAGTTCAACAGAGTGATGTTTTCAGTAATATCAATATTTTATTCATATTAATGATCCAGTGGTTTGTCCTTGCGATTGTTGCTGCGTATTAAACAGTTACCTATTACATACATCAATATTAAAAAAAAATCAATAGCGAATGAGATATTTAATCCCAACAGTATTTAAGACAGTAAATATTTACAACTTCAAATCTAAATTGTAGATAAGTACAACTTTGTATCTTACCTGTACCTAATATTATCATTATTATTGTATCACAAATTAGATTAATATGGATTTCTGTTTTATTATTATTATTCCTGTCATCGCCACAAAATTTTATATATGTACATATAACTATTTGAAAATACATTTATATCTTCACTCATTTTTAAATAAAATTGATATAGGTACAATGCTAACTGAATGATTAAAGTAAAAAATTTTCATTTTCTATTTGCAAGATAATTTTATCATTTCATTATATCTAGATTATCTTCTGAGAAATAAAATGATGTACTGTAATCAGAAAACATAACTCTCTGAGTCATTTGGAAGGTATATTTGCTTTCATTACTATATACTTATGGCATATTTTAACAAATACTACTTCAAGAAAACAGCATATAAAATATTTTCACTTCCTAATGAATAGTTATTATTGCTTTAAAAACGATGTTACTTAATACTGTAAGCAGATACATTAAACAACTGCTAATTAACTAGTTTTAATTGACCTTGTACAAGTCGAGGTATCTCATAACAATCTGTTTCAAAAGATTACAGAAGTACATATTATTTACATATTTAATACCGCAAATGTCAATTCTGTAATTTATCATGTTTCAGAACTAAAAACATAAATTTATGCAGGAAATCTTTTCATATCTTACCTTGTAACATTCCAAAGCATCAACCCAGCTCTGCTTGTTCTCGATGGAAGCAGCCCTCAAGTACCAAACACAATCATTTACGGAAACATCAAATCTGCATTCATCGAACTCATGAGGCTAAAAAAAAATATTGTACACTAATAGGTATGACGGCCTTCAAACAGTCACGAATCACGAGGAGTAAATAAACAAATGATTAACGCACTACATACTTTGATAACAGCCTTTGCAAGGGACAGGGCGCCTCTGCAACCATACCCTCGCTCCTGTTCGCTCTTGTAATACGACAGAGTGCCATTTGTCAACACAATGTACCTGTCCTGCCAGCCATGTATGTAGTTCGTCCACTTGCTGAGCACACCAAACAACTCATGTTGGTTTTCCACATCAGAGTCTTCACCACTATGATCGTCCGCCATGCTAATTCTAGTTTTGGAATTGTCCTTGTTGTTTAAGAAAAGGAGCACTAAATCAAGTCATTTTTGACTGGCCCCACAAGCTTGGTCTTTAATGTAATATGCCAATTTAAAATGACATGTCTTATTACTGGTTTAACGTTAAATTTATGTTTATCACACCATAATAATAATTATCTGGTGCATGCGCTTTACAAAACTCCATGGCCTTGAACGGGTGCGGGAGATTTAAAAATGTGTGTCAGTGGAGATGAGATACTGGCTACATTTTTACTACGTATTCATGGTTGCATAGTATTGTATATTGATTCGACTGTAATGGTAATATTGGTAATAGTAATAGAACAATTTATTTTGTCGATATCAGTAAAATTCGGTTCCCAGCCGTTTCGGAAGGAATATTTCCAACGCATTTTAATAAAGAATAAATATAAAATAAGGGTATAATACCATCATAAATTAATTTAGTGTATAATAGTGTACATATATTTATATAACTTCAGATGAAGAATGAATCAGATGTTATGAATGAATAACTGTAATACTTTAAATAGTTTCGCTAACCCCATGCATATGTGTTAGGAATCGTAAGTGGTCTGAATTTAGATTGAAAAGTCTCCATTACTATGCAAATTTTGCGGCGGTAAGCAGTATCGGGTAACGAACACCCATACAAGCAAGTAATACGTTCATATAAATAAAGCAAGGCGACAACATTTAGAGCATGGTCCCTAAAAGGGTCAGCCGACATGAAATCGCACTATCCTTGATTACTCCGGCTGATACATAGCCCGCTGTAATCCCGACGATTTCGTCCATCTCTATGCATTTTGATGTAGTTCGTTTATTTTATTCCATGTCTGTTGATACGAGGGGAATGCATAAATTACTCACTCTACAGTTACTGATAAAGCTTTGTAACATTACTTGCGAAACATGTTGCAAAACGTAAATAATAAATAGGTACCTATGGTTATTCTATTTTTCAAAACACCTTGCTATTTTTTTTAATTGTAAAGTGACTTTTGATTGCCTGAGCTGATCGTCAAAATTTTTATTTATATTTCACGATGGCTTTACTATCATAATTTCAAATAAAACTAGAAACCTATATATACATATCAGCATTTTTATGGATTAATTTTTGAAGTTCCCTTGTATCTTGTATCGATCCCATAGCGATATGTCGCTTGATAAAATCGCAATGAATTATGAATGAAGAGATTCATGAGTCTGTGAGCAGTTCTAGCTTTATGTGTACATAATGGATTCGCTAGTTATTTAAAACAGGTTATGGAATAAAAATTCTATATCAATAAGTGAGATTGCCACTTACCGGAATAACGTTTTGTCATTTGAATAATAGGTACGTTCGTGAATTGTATTTTATTCTGAAATGGTTTTTGTAACAAAATGGGAATATGCAATATCTAATGTTGCTCAGAGTCGATGGATTAAACCATTTTACAAATTTTATATGTACCTATATTTATTTTTTGAAACTTTTAAAATCTCCCCTGATTTATAGACATGGATCCACAGAACAGAATAAAGAGAGATATACCCCTTTCTAATATGGCGGACTTGGTCGAAATCACAATAAGATTAAGTTAGTGATAGTTTTACAAAAAGGCACACGTGTGGTAATATTGATATATACATATTGTTGTAATTGTTAATATTGTTGTAATTTACAGTGATTGTCAGCAAACTGCTGAAGAGACATCGACTCGTTATGCAGAAAGTACATACGCAATACGAAGAACAAATTTTGCGGTAAATAAGAAGGTAAAACAATAATTTTAAAGTTAATTATGCGAAATGACTTTTTGAATGAGATACATATCTTGTACAATATTTATCAGGTTGTATACAACGTAATGCTCCTTCTCCTGAAAAAATATATCGAAGACAACACCCACTAATTCGATACTGAAAAAATGTTCGTCGTCTAAACCTTGTAGGATAGGAAGATTCGTCCGCAACCCGTACAAGCACCTCAAGTGGAAGCGGAAGCGCAGCAGAGTGCTTGCTGAGGCTTTGATTGAGTTACGCCTCGCCGTCAAATAAAATCAGGCGCAAATTGGATCAGGCGTAAAGAGATTGTCGCCCATTACCATCACATTCAATTCGCGACCTCGCTTCTAACTAACTCATTTGCCAATTTACAGCCGCCTGCAGATGTGAGGGAGGTTTCCAGGAAAGGATAAGGGTTGGCAAAGAGTGAAGGGCTTCTAAAATTAAGTAATTCGCTTTGAGGTTTTAAACGATATATACAACATACGCTTCCAGATCCACTGACACTACGGTATCTTTCTCAAAATACCTATTGTATTCGCTGAAAAATTTTAGAAGAATTTGGAGAGATTTGTCAATTATTTCTTCAAAATTCCCTGAGATTAGTGATTCAGTTAAATTGAAAACACTTTCGTGATTTTAACCATAGAACTATAAATCTACTGTATTTCTATTTTCTATGATTAATTCTTACCTAACCTCAACTCAACATGAATCTGGTTTGACCTGAAGCTCAACTCTGCTCCGTGTTATATACAAGTGCTGTTGTGAATGTGACTTCTCCCTGTCCTCTACCTTATGGAATATGTTAGTTTAAATTGAATATCTTCTCTTGTAGGACTTGTGACACTTTTTAATAGTCTATCTATATATCTTGCTTGGAGTTATTTATACAGCAAAGTTTACCACTAAATTGCTGTTATAAGATTATATTTTATCTAAAGCTAGATAATATAAATAGGTAGTTTTAACTACGCCACATCAGTAACTGGATACTGGTATGTAAATATTTGATTAATGTGTCATTGGGCGACTGAAATTATAACTTACGCGTTTATACTAGCAATTACTCTGCTCAAACCGTCTGATAGCCACCGGTAGCCCGGGAGACGGAAAGAAGAAAAGGGAATCGTTAGGTCCTGATTGCCGCCAGGCTTTCAATCACACGATTTGATTTAACCGAACTCGAACGGGATTTGTGCGTGAGAGTAATTCAGACGGCGCTTTTTGCGACTTGGGAATTAATTTGGACGCTGCTGAAGGTGAGGAAAGGGTAATGGAAGTGGAAAGTGGAGTCATTTAGAGTTACTTCGCTTTTATCGTATTAACGGAGGTTCTTGGATTTCTAAAAATCAAATTCTGCAGAGTGGTATTAAATTTCACCCTCTGAGAGTATGTGACTGGTTTTTATAACACTTTGCACTAATTTATAATAGTGTATTTTTTGGAAACGTCCCTAAAGGGCAGGAAAGGTATTTAAGACCTTCCGTGGTAAAAGTGCTGTAGGAGATGCGCAACCGAAATCTAATAAATTTGCCGTCTGGCTGTGACAGCCGTCAAAACATGCACTTAATCGTATAATGGAGATTCGTGCTATGCGGATCGTAGCAGGCCGCCATCCACCTCTTGTTAACAACGTAATAACACAACAAAACACGAACGGTGGCCTACTCAACGGAATAATTGAGGCGTGCAAAATAATCGTCAAACCGCGTCTGTTGTCTGCGCCATATATTTATTTGAGCAGTAATGGGATGAAACAAACGACGACCTGGAAACAGTGGCGGAGTATGCAAAGCATAAAAAGAATTATCATAGTTCGTTTATGTAGAGGAAAGGAAGTTTGACGTGAGTTGATTTTACAGAAGTAGAAGGTTCAATAAATACATAAATAAACATATGAATCATTTCTCAAAAAATTATTAAAGAAAGACCAAATATTTTACCTTTCGCATTGAATATAGTTGGCTACTTTTTCTAAATTAAATGTGACATAAAAACAAATGCCTATAAATAAAGAATTCTAATCTTCTGACAAATGCTCACAGAAAACACGAAAGGTTTGCGAGATACTACTCTTTCAAATTTCGTATTGATTAAAGCCTTCCGCGACGCTGCTGCATTCGGCATTTCAGCGTATTCCATCATCGCGCCAGGTGGTACAGCTTGCAGTTGACGTACTATCTACTGACGACCATTGTTTGCCACCGCTAGCTCTGATTCTATTCGGCACGTGTCATACTTTTACATTATTGTTTTTTATTACTCCGCCCTTCCGTTACGTTGATAATTACCAGAAAAAAAAATCTGTCTATATATGAATTAGCAATTGAAAATCTCCACTAATGGTTGTTTTTTTTGTCACAGTTCTTAGCAAGACAGATAATAGTTAAAAACTACAGGTTAAAGATTAAAATGTTTGGCGTTTAAGAACTTAGGGATTTTAATATTATTGATTGTTAAAATGATGTTTAAAACATAATGTTTGAGGTTAACAAATGTATCTACGATCTTGTTGGGTCAACGTTGTAGTATAACAACCCAGGGTTCGGTCAAAAAAATCATACAAAGTTGTGGCCAACAATATGTGATCGTCATAAGGAATACCTACGTTGTATACATCTATTTTTTTATTGACCGGAAGGCGCTGGCTACTAGCTTTCAAGAGGGGAAGTATGGTTTAATTTTATAAAACAAAAGCAGGGTAAATACACCTAACTTTATTGTTTAGGTACAACAGTCTTCAGATTAAACATGTAACAAATAGAAAGAACAACAGAAACATTAACAACCATTTAACATAAAATGAGAGTGCCAGGCTCATCTAGAGCTCTTGTGAGGAAAGAGCATGGCAGAGAAGCCCACGATTGTTGCTCTTACCACCCAAATATAAATACAAAACAACCGCTAACCAAAGGCATAAATAAAGATCCTTTGCTAATGATAAATAAGACCTGTCTCATTTAATGTGTCACTAAATGTCATCTCACTCATATTAGTTATACACACTTCCAAGTAAAACTGAAGAGGTTTGGTGTTAGTTAGCCGGCAGGGCCGGAAGGTACTGGAGTCCCATAATACGGGAGGCAATCCAGCTATAGTTGAGATTTCGGAAGATCCTTCTTAACACTGGAGTCCCATACGGGAGGCAATCCAGCTTAATCCAGATTCGTTCCGCAAGGGCGAAAATGTTAGTAAATTGAACAAGGCTCGTATAGACGTATGACATAAAGTGAGCACAAGAAATCAAAGAACAACGTAATCATTATAAAACAAGTTAAATGTGAAACAAAGAAGTCGTTATTGCAATATCTGGGCAGTCACGACAATGTATACATATTTTGACATGTAATAAATTATGAACAATCGTTAAT